GACGCTGAAGCGCCGAACCCGTCTCATCCGGTGCTCGACTCTCTCGCCCGAGAGGTCAAGAACACCTGGGCAAATACCGCAGCGAGGTATCGCTACAGACAAGTGTGTTTTGTTTCCCTTATCTAATACCTTCCATAGCACGCGAGTTCGGTTCGGCGGTGAAGGGACGATATTTTGAGTTGATTGTTTTATTCTTTCGATCTTTAAGACTCTTTGTTTTCTTTTTTGTCCGTTGTCATCGAGCGCCCTTCTCCGCGTATGAATGGAAGCGGGGGCGAGGAGCGGTAACGTGCGGCGTACTCACGGGCATGTCGGCAGTCGTCGGCCAGCGTAATCCCATTGCGAAAGAGCAGCACGCGTCGCTTCCTGCCCTCGACGTGGAAAGTGGACGCGAGCACGGGATCGCCTTGCGCCTCTTGGCGCAGCGTCGCCATGGCTGTTTTCGGCGACACACCACCGGCTCTGCCGCCTGCAGCAGCTCCGACGACTCCGACGACGGCGGCCACCGCCGAACGCCTTTCCTTGCTCTTTTCTGTTTTGTTTTTTTCCCTTTCATTCTTTCTTCCTTTTTTATATTCATTCCTCCTGTTCGTTCGGTTTGTAAAAGAAATCAACCGGCGATCGCCATGACGGTGGCGCCATCTTTCAATAATATATTCAACTGATTCAACACTACCATTTTGTTTTGTTTTGTTTTTGGGGTTGTGATGATAATGATAGTGGATCCAAGGGTGGGGTCTGCCGACACGTAAAAATGCGCACAAAACTAAAAGCGTGAGAGATAAGACGGACAAAAAGAAAAAAAAAAAACCTTTCACCCGTTTTTTTGGACGGCTTCTTTCACTCTGTTTTTTTATTTGTTTCATGACAATGATAGTGCTCGATAGCGCTAGCCTGAAAACTAGATAAAGCAGCCGAACGACACACACTTCTAAAATTAGTAGGTATTTCGCACCACCTAGTGTTTAAACTACAGGCCATTTTTTTTACATTGTATTCATTGTCATAAGGAAACTACGTGCTAAGAATTGGGAACCCGGCGCATAATAATAATAATGAATGGTATTCATTGACAAGTGCATCATTAATAATAATAATAATAAAAGGTATTTGTTGGCAAGTGTTTTAATAATATAATAATAATGAATTTATTGACCCATTCAGACGAGAGAAGTTCAGACCACCGTGGTTCAGAGTAAGGTTACGAGCGATAAATTCCAGCGATGGAAGCGGCATCAGACTTTTTGTAGCAGGTTTTTTAGCAGGAAAATACTGGTTTGTAGTAGATGCCAGCATCTGTTAGCACGTTGCTTAATATGAAAATGATTGCATCGCTAAATGAGTTAATATCTGGAAAGGATTGAAGGCTCCTTCTTCATACTGAAGAATAGATACATCACAAAAGAAACACGGAACCTTCTTTTTAGAAATAAGGCTGAGTTCAAAACAAGTTCTATATACAATGGGCCTTAAAAATAGTTTAAAAAAAATACTTCAGCTGAGATAAAGCCACTCTCTATTTCCCCCATTTACACTCAATGGTTAGATTAGCCTGCAGATATAATTCCGGTGAATTTCCAGCAAAAATCAGCATATCAGCTGAAATGTCCATCGATTCCGCTCGGAGTGCGTGGAGCAAAAACTCTTTATTTGCACGAGAAGTGGGAACACACGAGGCGTGCGTGGCTGAGTGGCGGAAAGGTAGCAAAACCCGTACGCTGGAGAACCTGCATGTGAGCCAAACTCATATGGACGAATGAACAACAACAACAACAACAAACAAACAAACAAACAAAAAAAAAAAAAAAAAAAAAAAAAAAAAAACGAACGTCGACTGGACCCACGGAGCTCATCACGGGCCACAGCAGAAGGGAACAAGAGGCGTCGTGTCACCGAGTGCGGAAACGTATTTCAACGAGCCCTCCTTCGCCTACTTTTTATTTTTTCGCTGTTTTGACACTTTTACTTACCCGTGCTGTCTTCCGCAGGCGAGGCTCTTTATTCTTGCCCATGGCTACTTCGGTCACCCAAGCTGCTGCTGCTGCTTCCCCCCCCCCCCCCCCCCCCCCTTCCCCCCAACCGATTCACTCCATATATAAATACATACATATTTTACGGCTTACAATGTTATCACAAAAAGAAGAAAAAAATACGCGAGCCTTAATTTTAGGTTTGTCAATAGTTGACGCTACCACCATTTGGCATCGCACAATGACGGCACAAACTCTAAGCAGTAGAAGCGACGAGCGCGTTGGTCCAGTCATCGATCTTCCGCCACTTGACAACGCGCTTGCCCAGCTCACCTGACCAACAACTCAGCTCTCGAGAAGAGCTGGGTCAGGTGATCAAAAGGAGGCAGTTCATTCGTCCGACGAAAGCGTAGCTCCTGCCGCTCTCTTCACGCTACGCCAATGCGTAAACTTTTTTTTTTTGTTAATTGCAATATATATACTTTTTTTTTTTTTTTTTGGGGGGGGGGGGGGGGGGGGGGTACAACGGTGGCACGACGCCGGACAGGCGCACAATGACCTACGCTCTCCAATTTTTCTTTATTTCGTCTGGGGCTGTACTTTTAAAACACCTGCCCGGCGCCGTAAGCAAGGAACGTGTGAATCACCATGGAGCGTGTCCATTATCCGCAGCAACTCGCAAACTCTTGCATCGGCATGGAGAGAACTACGTCATTTCGACATAAAAGAAACCCCTAAAGACGATCTGCAGGAAGCGTCGCAGAGCATCCGCTCTCGCGTCCAGCGATCGATACCGACACGGCTACAAACTGCTTTTTTTTTATTTTTTTTTTATCAGTTTTAAAAGTGATTTTTATTTTCATACTCAAAAAAAAAAAAAAAAAATAGAAACACTTTGTTTACGGACCACTCTTTCATGATTCAGGTACCAAACTCTCATTTATTTTCGGGTACGAAAATTTCGCGCGATCACGAAGATCTAGGTTGTCCGTGACCGCTTTCCCAGTTTTGCTGTCCTTGTATTTTATTCATAATCGCCACACGCTCGCTTAGCGCAGTTTTATTTCAACTAACGCTGCCTGTCAGACCAATATCCGAAGCTGAACAGAGGGACCCGTTCCACACACACAAGACCAGTCTTCTCCAAGACTAGGATAGGATAGTATAGTGCGCCACTCATTATCGTGTTGAAAATATAACGATGTTACTGTATCAGTCAAGCCTGACCCTTTACGAAAGCCCCGTACACTGTTCAAATGTACGGGGCAAATGTATACATTGTTCAAATGTATAAAACGCTGCACAATGGCGGAACAAGCGGCACCACAGAATGCGAGATCCGAAAACTACATAAGCTAGAAATTAAGGGTCATAGACCCCTTCCGAAATACTGCCCGGTGCTGCCAGCTGTAGAATCCCTGAACTATGGCGGCCTAAAAGCTTAACGCCACGGAACAGTTAATGCGTTTGGTTAGAGAAGGAAAACCTTCCAAGAAAAAGGAGACGTACGCAGTGACGTCCTACTTCCGATGGTTTGACTCGTCGGTTCCTAGCGTTAACCGCGTTCCACGCTCGCCATCTTATGGAATGAATTGCACGCTCCACGATGTCAGTTGTTCCACCATTATGCATTAGTTCCCACCTAATAATCGGCACGCAAATTTCGAGGTCTATTAGTAGTGTCCAAGGTTCCAACATTGGCGATGCCTTTTGTCCGCCATTGTCCAGTGATTCCGCAGCTTCCAACAGAGGGCACACTTTGAAAAGGGCCGCTCGCATGTAGAGGCACCCTTCCACTTACCTTCAGAAATTAGTAACAGCGCGCAAAAATACGAGGACAACGAGAGTCGAGCACGGGACGTGCGCGGACTATCAACTGAAATTTTATTAAAAACGGCTCAAACAAGAAAACACCACGAAGCCCGTGCTCTATTCTCGTTGTTCCCAGTCGTTTTGTGCGCCGTTCCCAATTCCTTTAGCCATGAACAATTCCACTTACCTCCCACGCCGAGGCCTCTACTCGGCTATTTGGCGGTCATGGTAGCACCGAAGAGGAACGGGTCAGACTTATGACCTTCATGGGGGTCAAAGGCGCACTCCGTGCTTCTTACGCAAGTGGCGACATGCTTCCCGGCGCCCACTCACACGATGGCGCGGATTTGAGCAAGCTAACGACGCCATTTGAAGGAATTTTCTTCTCACAAAATGAGCTGCATCATGCGTGTTCGTTGCCGCCACTATACCAGTTTTCACCTCAAGGGGAAGTTTTGCTCAATGCTCATGCGCCGCGCGAAGTAGTTCTCACAAGATTTGGTTGTCAAAGGCAAAAGCGATGCTACTGTCGCTTGAAACGTGTACGTCTTGATAAGGTAACATTTATCTAATCTAAAATTCTCAGCCCAGAGGGAAATTAGTAATGCCACCGCGAGAAGCCGTACTTTTTTTTTACTACTGTTCTTGAGGTGAAAACGAGTATATTAACTTGCAGACAGGACTCGAATCCCTCGATATCGTCTGCAGGTAGCACGTATGACGAAGCATATTACCCGGTGAAAACCTGGCGGCTTGCCGTTCATTCTGCTACTGCGCGCCGCCATTCACTTCAAAAACCCGCACAGTCAGGCAGTCGGCGCTTGGAAGAATGACGGTACTTGTAAGGTGCCAAGTTGGTTGTATACATTGTAAAACGCTTAGACAGGAAGAGAATGATGCTAACATGGGCCCTAATCTCTACGGCGGGACCTGGACATCGCTGCCTGCTGCGATGTCCCGGTTCTTTGTTCGGAACGCGAAGCCCCTGGTCCAGAGACTCTAGGGCCGTGTTCCAAAATGTACTCAATCTTACTCCAAGGTAAGGATTTTGTACCTTGGTGTTTCAAAACCTACCCGCGTCCAGCGGGTCCAGCGTTTTTCAGTACGCTGTCACGTGACACGACCCGCCGGAGTAACTCGGATCGGACCCAATTGGGCAAGATTTAGAACAGCCTAGGTAGGACCGCTCGCTGGAATAAATCCTTTGCAGCGTTAGGGGTGGTCTACATAGCACTTCGAAGTCATTCTAGCTAATCGCTTCCGCCTCGAAAATAATTCGGCGCTAACTTACATTTTCATCATACTTTGTTTACAGCAGACTTCAAGCCTCTCCGATTTGTTCCCAGAATTCGAGTACAGATGTGCCTCGGGAGGTTTTGAGTTTTTTTGGAAATTTTAAACTTTGCACATTCCAATTCGCGAAGTTCGCACCTCTGATTCGCGGTGACGTTCGAATTCACAAAGTTCGAAGCTTTCGAAACCTCGAAGTTAATTGCAGAATTTGTGGACGCAATAAGCGTGGAAATTTCCAAACACCTTGGTTCGATCTTAGTCTCTCGGGCTCAGAAACGTTTGCGGAATCTCTAATACGAGATGCAGGCCTCAGTTGTGGTGGCCGAGGAAATACAACCAACGAGGAAGCATCCCGCTGATACCAGCAGCTTTTGGCGTGCCCAGTAACTTACCGCAATGCCTGCAAGAGACAGTTCGCGGAGGCATTAAAACACCGTTCGACCGTCCCGACAGGGCGCTTGAATGCCTCTCGCCAAAATACTTAGAAGCAGTCATGCCGGAACTTCAGAGGTTAGTTACTGCACGGTTTACCTCGAGCACGACCAAGGATCCCTGTCAAAGGTCTTTGGATCTTTCCCAGATAGAGTTGCCCGAAATCTTACAGGACAAAATCCACTACAAAGAATCTGCATCTATGTTAAACTTTAGCTCCGTATGTGCCAAGCTCAGATTTTTTTCCACCCGATATCCAGCCAGCTCCTCTATTCTGTCGATTCCAGTCTACACTACTACGCAGGGAACCCTCCCCCTCGCGGACAACTTTCAGTAGTGGTGTGCGCGTGCAAGGCTTTGGTGCGCCTGCAAGATGCGCAATCGCACGTGCGCCCATCCGCGTGGCTACAGAAAGTTGTCCGAGAGTTTAGTCCCGGATATCGCTCCACTTTGACGCTCGGCGCTTGCTGGCACGGGCAGGAAACAATGCCCCGTCCCAAGACCGCGTTCAGACCTGCAGGGCCACAGGCAAGCCGGGCCTCACGCAAGTGCCCGCCACGCATGTGCGAGCACATCCCCCGCCCCTGGAGCCAAAAGCGTGGCACGACACGCAGCTCTCCGTCGAAGGCACCCGACGGCCCGTCCTCATCAGCGCCGCCAGGCTGGCAGGACAGTGCGCTGGGCTGGCGTCCTGGGCCGCACCTGGCAACGACAGACAGCGTGAGGACACTGGGCACAGCCGTCCAAAGCCTGACCTGGGACGCTGCCCACACATGCACAGCAGAGTGCTCTCTGCAGTTTCGCTACCTCTGAAAAAGGAAAGTGCTAGTGCTGCTCAGCGACGGTAACTACAATCACCGCGAAGGTCGCAGAGCTCATTATCGGCCTTCCCGATATATCCCCAAGACAGATGGGAACATCAAACCGAGATCTCAGAAACGGAGCAAACCACGCAATCTTGGCGCAAGTTGCAACGCATTCTCCGATCACTTACTACAAGGCGTTGGATGACCTTTGGGACCAGTCCGACCCATCCGTGCCGCTCCGGGAAGACAATAGGGAGTTTTCGTAGACCGCGTTTCCCCATCCGCTAAGCCCTCCGCAACGAAGCAGCCGCTACTGCGCCGGCGCGCCGATGGCCTTGACTGTAGAATTCCGGCTAGCGTAGCTGGTTGCGGAGAGCGTTGCGGAACAGCGGAAACGATCTACGAAAACTCCCCAATCGCCGGCACGCCGCGGAAACTCGCCGTGCCCCGAAGATGGACGAAAGAAACAAGCTAGCGGGAACGGGCCCTTGAGCGCCGTGTTGCTCGAGAGCCCCTTTAATAAGAGGCGCCGCCCCTTTGACAGCGAATGTTTGATCCGATATGTATATATATATATATGAGCGTATATATATTATGTACAAGACTAGAAGGAGGCCGCGGCCGCGCGTGTTCCTAGGGCTCTTGGTCGACCTCTTCCTCAAGGCCCGACGACGACGCGGGGTCGTGCGCGCGCACAAGGGTGGCGTTGAGTCGGAGCAAAGCCCGGTTCTCTTCTTGGAGTCGGAGCAGCTGCCGCTGAAGTTCGTCCAGGCAGTTAAGCGGGTCCAAGGAATGCAACTGCTCGCACAGCTCCTCGGCGCGCCGCTCGAGCGCCGAGTACATGTCTACCATCTCGGAGCGCGGCAGCCGCAAGAGCTCGTCGACGCGCGCGTTGCTGTACACCGCCTCGAAGTCCTTCTCGTAGAACTCGACCATGTTCCCGTAGTCCAGCGACTCGTAGTGCTCGCCCGCCGGAAACGACGACTCGGGTTCTTCGTCGAAGTCACTGACGCCCGCCGGCGCGCCGCCGTCTTCATCGTCATCACACGAGTCGCGTCGCATCCTTTGCAGATGCGACGAGCCTTCAAAGCTCTGGTACAGGGCGCAGTTCTCGTGGTCGTCGATGATGAACTGGGTGAAGTTTGCCGGAGCCTTGGGTACCTGCCTGGGCCGGATCACCACCTGGCTGCGTCGCTTCTTGGGTAACTGGGACGCCGCCGGGGCCGCGTCCGAGTCGTCCGACGGCCGATCCTGCCGCCGTTTCTTGCCCCGGCGGGTCTTCCGCGGCCTGCTCGCTGTTGCGATCGGTTTAGCGGCGGTCAGGTCGGCGGTCAGGTCGACGGTCATCGTCGGCGGGTCCGAAGGATCGTCCAGCGGCGCTTGGAAGCCGTTCCTAGCGATCATCGAGCGCGTCTAGCAAAGCGGTACGTGGTTCACAAAACGAGATACCTGTATCGGACGCGGTTCAAACGTTCGAACGCGGGTTGTAAAGAGTCACGCGATCAATCTGTGAGCAAAGGCAACGCGAGTGAGAAAGCCGTTTCACCTTGGACGCTCCGATTCGGTGGAGCCTCAAGGGTGGCCGCTGGCGAGCCAAATCGGGATGAGCCTCGGGCACGCACACTGGCTTCGGTCCGGTAGCAAGTTCGTCCGCCTAGCCTCGTCGCCGCCGTGAGTTGTCTTCGAAACAGTCCGCCGACAGGAAACGTGCCGCCAAGAAATTAAAAGACGGGAACTGCCGACGACACATGCCAAGGCTTCCACTGCCTTGCTCCAACGTTCAACTGACGATTTTTGGTCGAGTGACGTCGTTTTTATAGTCGTCATGACGTCACGCCTACGAAACTGATCGGAGCCAATCCACACGCGCGGGATATATTCGGAGCGTTCGGAGCGTCGAAAGGGCGGCTGGGGGCTGGGGCTAATAAAGAAAAGCACAAAGAAAGTAGCGTCAATATCGTGGTGTACCGTGGTGCCGCGGTTCCCGTTGTACTGTCGAGTACTGTGGTGTCTGTGTTACCAATGTTTGACGCACGAAGGTGCTCTCCATTAGGTTGCGCATGTTCTCTTCTGTCGGGAATCGAACAACCTAAAGCGACCCAATTTCTCGTTGCTGAGCCGCTGAGCCATATATTCGTATCGCTTGCGTTAGTTGAAAAACGCTTGGTTACACATGCTGTCGTATTTTAACGCCCGTGTTCAAAGACTTTCGATAGCTGTGCTAGCAAGCTGGTGCTGCTCAGGGGTTTTGAAGAGTGAATAAACTATGATATACGGCTGCAAAGTAGGACGTGGTTTGCGTTCTGGAATTCTTCGAAGGCACCCGCAAGTAAGCGACTTCTAAATTTCTTCGGTCAGAGTGCCACCTGCCTGATAGCAGGTGAATTTCTACAACGGCACTCCAACGTCGCCAGCTTTTTTACTATTTTATTTACGCATAAAAAGTCCATCTGTTCACGTGGCACGGACACGTACAAGACGAAGAATTGAACAATTTTGATCACTGTACGGTTGTACCGGTTGTACTCGTACTGGTTCTAGTTAGGGTGCCTTCATGTGCGCCAAAGCGCACATGAAGGCTCCCTAGTTCTAATGGCTGTACAGCATGGCTACCTATTTATGCCTCCCACAAACCCAAATAATAATAAAAGAAGAAACAGCCAACAATGCACCTAATGCAACAACACACTGACACACAGAGTACTTGTTTTATTTTAGATTATATTTCGGGACACGCTGCACACACCATTAGTTTTTCTAGACTTTTTACCAGTTTTACTACATTTGCTGAACAAAGGTAAAATGGAAGAGCGGGTAACCACTTCAATCGCATAAACCGATACAGCGGCTTCAGGGCTTCACAGCGGTAGTGTCCCCATGCGGCTCTGAGCGGCTCTAGCCATCTCTAGCCGTGCCGTAGTCGTAGTCAGTTGCGCATGCGCACTTCTTTTCTATCTTTCTTGCCTTTCTGCAGTCGTTCACCAACATGTGGATACAGCTCCGGAGATTTGTAAACAAATACTGCACTTTTAAGCAAGACTTGATATTTAGATCGATATCCTCCTGTTGTCCGTCTTGATTAATCGGCTCTTTAGGGTTTTTAGAATAGGCTTTTCGGTGCGAGATGCCCAAAGGAAAGAGGAGACCCAAAGCAGGTAAGTGCCACCAAGCCTAAAAGCTAGTGCTAAACACGGCCGCCTTGTCATGTTATTTCCTCGTAGACGAACGTTTCGTGGAAGTGGCAGCGTCGTTTTCGATTACTCAGTGGCCCTCGGGAACACTTGCAGATTCCGTACGCGTCTCTGTGAGCTTCGAGGGAGACTGTCAAGTGGTGTTCGTCTCGTGCTCGCCTCGGTGTCGACCTTGGCGACGTTTGAATGGGAGGCCCGTTGCTGCTGCCATATGTTGCAGCATTGGTTGCAGGCTGCGGTCGGAGCGCGTCACCGACCACGCTGTCTCGTATTACGGATGGGAAAAGAGCTGACGTCGGTGGCGGACACCGGTTCCTACGAGGATACGTTCAAGCTCCAAATAGATTTGAAATGCCTTTCTTCGAGGGTCTCGCGAGGGAAAACGGCTCGCTGCATGTTCCGTCCGCAAATCGTTTTGCTCATCCTTAGGTCTCGAAGACCCGACAGGCATCATCAATGCGTCGGGAGTCTACCTCAAAGGCGCAGAAACGTCTGTCCTCGAGGCTTAGCTGCTCATTGGCGTTGGAAACCCTTTCCCTAAGAGTCGACGCACTTCACTTCCACGAACGTTAAGGTGTCTACGTGCAGCTCACTGTTCTGTAGTGTAGGAAGGGCATTTGTTATATGCAAAACCTCGAGTCGATCTTTCCCTGTCCTTTCGCAACCTGTGTACCTTTCAGTTGCTCGGTACATCATTGAAAGAAATGAGTTATTCAGACTGTAAACTTTCCACAAGCTGTCCTTACTCGCAAAATTGAAATTTGCTGAAGATGCAATGGCCACAAAAAACTTGCCGTACATCAAATGTTAGGTCAATTCAGTGCGAGTCATCCATAGCGTTTCTCAGCAGTTCGTGTATGAATCTGGTCCATATGACATTTGTATTTTCATGTCAAAGCAACAGAGTCCTTTCCAGCTGGCATTCCCAGCTGAAAGTTCCATCCAGGCGGTTGGATTGCGTGTCTTACTCAGGTGGCTGGAACTGGACAGCTGCATTGACGTTTAGTGCTGTCGTTATTTATATTTTGAGACAGAAATGAATGGGGCATGGGTAAGGCACACCCCCCACAAGTATGTGCTGTCATGCGTTCATTGTTACCTTTGTCGCAAAGGTTGTTACAGCACTTCAGGAGTTTTTTTTTTGGCAAACTCTATTGTGCATTTTAGAGCGGTGGCTGAACTTTGTCGTGTAAACTTGCAAGGATAGTAGTCCGAAAGTGCAGGAGGGGACCTCTCCTGGGAGCGAGGTGTTGGGGTGCCGGATGATTACTTTGTTGATGACCTGTAGCGCAGCAGCGGGAGCCATCATGTTCAGCAAGAAAGGAAGTCACACGCTTGCCACGAGCTGTTTTTGGGCTGGTTAACTCTTTTCTTTTTCCAGGAAAAAAGGCTGTTATGCGTAGTCTCAGAAAAAAATTGTGTAGTCACAAATTTAATTACCAGGTGTACCAAGCATACCAAACTGTAGCTATTAGCCCCGAGAGCGAACACAAGCGTCGCTGCGGTCGCCGTGCCGGGATTGGATGAGGTGTACTGTGACGTCAGGGGGAGAACTCCGCTCCGCGATCTCGCATCGGTTTCCTGGTTTGGCGTCGTGTGCCGCAAGCTCTTCGAGGAGCTGGACTTCAGTTAACTGGTATGCAGGACGTTCAGTTAGGCCGATATTGACGTGCTTCCGTACGTTTTATAAGCCTGCTCGTCCCTTTTACCTTTAAAATTGGGTTACGAATCCCGAAAGCTATCGACGGAGGCAATTCCGCCGATGAACCTCCCCGTCCGTCCACACGACACAAGGCAATCTTTCGAGGGGTCGGTGAAGCGGTGGCGCAAGTGTTTCGGACGCTGGAATTTTGTTCCCTGCATGTTCATGATTTAAGACGATATTACATCCCGCTTTCAAGGCATTTGAAGTGGCATTTATATCACGGGCCTTTGGGTGGTCGGCAAATTAGCTCGCGACCCCGACTCTGCGCTACCACTCTGCATGCGCTGGTTCGCAGATGTTTTAAAGGCCCTGCGTCTGATGATCTTGGAAGTGCTCGTGGAACAGGGTTGTTACCCATAAATGTAGCTTCTTTGTGAATTAATGATATAGTTTATACTTGTATGCAGGCACATTTCTTAGAATCTGCACAATTACTGGAAATTAGTTTGTATGGTAGCAGCAAAAATGGCAGAATTGCCACCAGTTGCCTGTATGATATGTATTGAACTGCCAAAATATGCACGGCAATAGTGCCGTAATATGGAATGTTTATACATTTTCCTGTCATTCTTTATTCCAGCCTAGTGTATTCCGAAAACACACCGTTTAGTCTGAATAGTCATTTCCAATTAAAAGAAACACTGCTGCAGGTCCCCGAAAGCTTCCTCAGCCTCCAAAGTCGATAGAGCTGGACTCTCTGACAACAGAGGAAAACAGGAGTAAAAGCAAGCATTCGAACGTCTGTCTAGTGGTAGATGCAGCACTAGCAGCAGAAAATGTGGAACGTGTGAAAGGGCGACAGTCTGCGTGAGAAAAGCTTCTGGTATTTTAGCATCAGGACAATTCGATTTAAATAAAATCTCAATTTTAGGGCTTAAGGAACAAATAACGAGCTAGACACCTTCGCTTACGTTTGTTATACATTACTTGAGGGTTGATATAAACAAGACTCAAGCCCACAGATACCACCCGTGTAGTCCATTGAAATACTATCCGAATCTAGCAAAGGTCAAATACGAGTAATGTATATAATAAATGTTCCTCATTTTTTTTACTTTGCCCCTGCACTTGGGCTGTCTTACTTGTGATTCTCTCTCCATGGCCCAGATTGTATTTAGCGTGTTGCTCGAGCAGCATGCAGCTTTTCTGCTTCGGCGATCTTGTTTAAAAAAAAGATACAAAAAACAAATAGTAGACATAACCTGCCAATTCATTCAGACCATCAGCAGCATTTATTGTGCGAGATGTAAATCTATAGTGATGCTCCTGCAATTCTGGCCATATTTCTTTATTTTCATATACCAGCTGTGATTCATGCGTTGCCTGCCTTGTCAACCATGCTTAAAATGTTGGTTGAAGTTTCGCTTGTAGCTACAGGCCATACCTCAATAAAGGCACATAAAGAAATTTACACTTCCTACGAAAAACACGCAAAAAAAAAATTAAGAAACGAGCGCGCCGACAGCTAGCGTCGTCACAGCCTCCACAGGGCGAGCGGGCCGAGTCGGAGAAAAATTCTCTCCTCGCCGTGACGTCACCCCGGTTCGTCGTAAGGGGGCGCCACGCAAACTTCTCGGGACTAATAGAAATTCTCTTTTAAAAGTATAAGTGTCAAACAAAATATTTACCTCGTGTGTTCCTAATTTCCACGAATTGCCTACAATTGGCGAAAAATAGGTCCCACGAACAATTCCGGTAAAATTTAAACACATTGGGATCTATACTGAGATCTCAGTGTGTCGCAAAAATTAGAACCCGCGAATTATTAAAACAATTTCAGCTTTGACGTCAACTAAATCGCGAATATTGAGCCAGCAAAAAATAAGTCATTTTCAGTATATGAATAAAAAGAAATGTTACGTCAAATTTTGGGTAACCAACACGGAAGTTTTTATTTTAATTCAGTGTACACCCTTGAGCAATATGAAGGTGAACAGCCCTCTTTTCGTTTTTGACACTCCTGCAAGTTTTGGAACAGCCTCTGTTTCAGAAGAGGGCTAGAACGCAAAGTTTAGACCCCAAGCCACATACCATTTGTGACGTTGAGAGTTAATATAGCTTTAGGGAGCCGTGAAACAGGCAAGAACCCAGATTAACGTGTTCCAGATTTTTTTTTTTTACTCAATACTTTGCCAGGTACACCCGCCGGCAATATGAAGGCTTCATATTGCTGGCAAGTGTAGCTGGCAAAGTATTAAGAGTAAAAAAAAAATCTGAAACATGCTTTTCGTATTTTACTTTTTAGAAGCAAATCCTGGAAGTTTGAAACGCCTCCGTGCAAAACCTCTCCGTTCTACTAAAGGAAAAAAAAAAGTTAGTCCCCGTGATGACTGTGTCCTTTCCCAAAGCCCCAACCAAAGTGTTTCGTGCTACTTCGTAGAGTTACGCCGGGACCGGGACCGGGCCGCCTTTTCGAAGAAAACTTTACTCGTTTTGCTGCTGATGGCATAAAATTGTGTCTCTATGAGGTCGACACCCTGCAGATGGAAAGTAATGCATTGGGAACGCACCCAGTATGTCCACGGAAGCTCTCGGCGTGCAAAACGAAACATACGACAGGCACCCTTGTGGGATCCCGGCTAGTTTAATGCACTACAACGGTCAAAACTACAATCCAATGAGTGAACGTCATCTTCTGACTCATTGCTGCCACTTTGATCCACAAAATTGATTGGATGTGCACCAGAAGCACGAATCGGACAATGTTTTTGACGAGTGTTGGCGCACAATGGGGATGCCATGCTTGATGTGATCGCTCACAATCCTGGAACTTTAAAGTCGCATAAAAAATGGCCCGGCTGCAGAAAAGCACAAATCAAAACAAACTCGAAGTAGAGTTCCTCCGTAACATCCTAATTGGTGTCACATGTCTAAAAGTGGTGCTTAGTTTTATTTATTATTTTATTTATGAATACTACTTACCTCGTATGAGGATTTTAGTAGGCTGTTTACAAATCCAGGATGCTTTACCGCAGTAAAATACAGTTGTACGTTCTCAACATAACATATACAGTATAGACCGACACGCGGAGCGGCTCTGTTTACCAACACAGCCGGAAGGCCGCGCATGCGCGAAAGCTATGTGGGCAAAAGTGCCCCGGCTCTCCGTGTTTTCGCCATTGCTTTGTGTGGCGTGCGCTTGTTGACGTTGTAGGGAGGCTTCTATCTTTATTTGTGTGTGGTATTTCCTGACAACGTATGTTGTATATTATGCCCGACTATTTGAGCTCGCTACCCGAGCCTGAACGGCAACGATATCGTGACAAACTGTGCGTGGATGGCGTTGCCTTCGATGATTCGAACGCCGCAAACAAGGTCTGCTGGACTTGCGACGTGAACTTGCTGCCACCGAAGTCGACGGCTCATGTCGTCGTTTATTTAGTTTTTTTCGCCAAGCCAGTTCACGGCCGACACGGTGCAGGCGTACAAGTCTCTCGAGGCCTAGATTACTTCGAGTCGGTTTCCGGACTGCCGGCGGGATCAGCAGACGGTGGGTCTGCGGAAGTGTATTTATTAATTGATTAAATACACACAGCGTTTTTAAGGCAATGCATATTTTTCCTACTCCATGACCACAAGGCATGACAAGCAGTAACGCTTTGTCCGTTCTGCAGTCTTGGCGGTAACATGTTACAAGTAACGGCAACGGTGGCGCAAGGGGTGTTGATGAGTCCGTTGGTGTCGTCGTCGATGTGTGAAGAACACGAATGCCTCGGAGCAGCACGAAAGTTTCAATTTTGTCGCATGATGTCGGCACTTTCAATGTCGTCTTTTCCGTCGTAGTAAAGTCTCACCACACGAGATAGTAGATGTGTACGGTGGCGAGAAAACTGCAACTGCAGTCAGCACCTGCACGATGAACAGGAACGGGTTAGTGACCGTCATTCCTGCATAGCCATCGTGCGTCGGAATAGGGGGTTAAAATCTATCGATCAGCTCGATCGATTTGAATTGGTGCAGTAAGGAAAGAGTTAAACAGGATTTTTTAGAATCCGGATCTTTTTTCGAAGAGTGGAAGACAGCAGTGTTGGTCGTTAGTGCAGCCGCACGTGCTCCAGAAAAGGGAATTCCTGTTCCTGCCAAATTTACCAGTGGAATTTTCCATCAGTTATGCGAAAACTTGTTTGAGCAATTGATTTGCTGACTTCACTGAAATGACCCTGTAGAGATCTGCGTAATAAATAAGCCAGAATATTTGCTTTATCTTAAAATGTGTGGTAGCATCAATGTAGTGGCCTGTGATGCATGGCATTGTGGTCACAGGTGTAAGGCGTACAGCATGCGAGGCATTTACTTTGTGTTCGGCAACATACAGGTTGTGAGCCCCAAGGGCAGCCTGCAGATTGTCTGTCGGTTTTGGCACTTTGTTGCTCTGGTGAAACCTTGGTTGGGGAGCAAGTAAAAAGTATGAAAAGTAGGAATAGCGTCGGCCGAGTTCTTTACATGAATTTGGCTTGTGCACCTGCGAAAGATATGACCCTAAATCTGACCAGATAAGCGTTCGAGAGGTACTAGAGGCGTTCATATTGCAGGGTTTGGTGAGGCAATGCTTGGGTGCCCTCCTTGTCTTTGTCACCCACCGAGGTGAACTCCGTGTGATCCAGAGAGTGCCACCTCAAGTCCTTGCATCCTTTGTTCCTCTTTTCCAACGTTCCTAATACCCATTAAGCTGTAGCTAATCATAACCTTTATTTGCAAAGTCAAATGTCGAGATATTTCTACTCGTCTATCCCAAAATAAATCTCCCCTCGAGTTTTCTTTTTTTTTTTTTCTTTATAATAGTCAGATTTTTTTCTGGGTCTAAAATGGACTCCGGGAGTTTATACCTTTCACACGTCGGGGATACCGTGACTTTATGCGGCTGTATGGGTCGTGATTGTGGACATACCGCCTGTGTCGCACATCGCATTCGCCTTTGGCCCGTGCAACTGCGTCCCGAGCAGTGAGGCGGGGTGGCACGGCCAATGGACGCTTCCCTCTCCTTGCAGGTGGCGCCGCGCGCGGTGGCCGGTGCGAGGCCAGCCTGGCTCCGTCGTCCAGCGACGAGGAGTCCAACGCAGACACGGCGAGCGTGCTGAGCTGCGCCTCGGAGTCTCGCTGTGGCAGTGACGGCACGGGTGAGTTGCCCTTGGGGCTTCCGGGTACTGACCCGTCGCTGCACGACTGGAAGGCCTTGAGCAAGCACCTTGTGGTTACCGTATGGGGTGCAGTAGGAGTGCTGGTTGTACCTCTAACCTGGCTGCAGTCACCCCAGAGCAGAACACTGAACCCAATCGTACCCTATTCAATTTTTTTGCAATACTTTTCAACGAGGTATAAACAAAATAGGAAAGAAGTTCAAAACTTGCTATGGTACTTTTCTTTTCTAGAATGGGTATTAAATATTTATGGCGCACCCCCATTGCCTGTTGAATAGGGTAATGTGGCGTGTTTGCTGGATGATGCCCTGAAAATACGTCGTCGTCTGTCTCGCATTTTTCTTGTGCGAGATGACAGATACCGAATGTTGCTGCCTAAAGTGGGGCCGTGGGTTAGCACAAATTGCCACGCTAGTACTTTTGATTACAGCCTTTCAGTCGGGGAAAAAAAACGGGAAAATTGTCGATGGCTCGTCCGGCGGACTCTGCGCAGCCGTGAAAGAACCATCCGCACATTGATGGAATGTACCTGTCGTGAACCTTTTGGTGTTTTATTATTATAAAACTAGGAGAAGGAGTATGCTGATCCTAACTCCATGCATGCCTGCCCCTCCCATAGATAGCTTCACAAAGTGTTCCTAATGGTGTATTTGCACGAGATATATTTATCTTCAGAGAAAACCAAGTATGGGTCGTAGAGCTGTGAGAAGGAGGAGGCGGTGCAGAAAATCCAAGCGAGCATTCACACGACAGAGTCGCATGTAGTTGAGTCCGCGGAGCCTTTCTTTTTGTGAGTGTTCTGGTGACCTTTGGGGGCTCATCTAACAGGAGTCAAGAAATAAAGAAAATAAATAAGAAAGGCACCCATGGTTTAAGGCTTCTCATTGTAATCATTCTCCAAAAGAAGGGGGGGGGGGGGGGGGGGGGGAAGGGGGCCTAGTTGCTTCGAAGGGACGACGTATATTGCCTTTTCCCGCGAGCTTGAGGCATTAGCGAAGCTTCGTGACGCGGCACATGGGGCCTCAAAACTTGGATGACATTAAATCCACTCCTTGGGGAGAAACTCGATCGTGTGAATACACTGTAATGCGCATGATTTCTGCACTGCAAGAGTCCGGTACTTTTGTTTTGTCGTCCGAGCAACCTTGTTGACGGCGGTGCCTCACACTTTCTCGCCGTAGTTGGAGACCCAGAAGCGGAGGAGGCTGTGCTGCACGACGACTTTGAAGACAAGCTCAAGGAGGCCATCGACGGAGCTTCGCAGAAGAGGTGAGGCCGTTGCCGGCACGTTGCGCGGCACATGACCTCCGCCGCTCTGGTTGCAGTGCCAAAGGACGGCTGTCGTGCCTGGAGGCGATTCGCAAGGCCTTTTCCACCAAGTACCTCTACGACTTCCTCATGGACAGGTAGGCACACATCCAACCCCAGCATTCATGGTTGCCGTTGCACTCCAGACCGGTTGCTCCCATGCACGCCCGCGTTGCTGCTTGGTGAGGATGGTGGCTGGAAAAGCAGGGCATAGCTTGGACATGCTGTAAGCTTTCCCCACCTCTTTGCTCCTCGCATTCCAAACTTGGCCCACAAGCCGCGTGACCCTGACCAGCGGTTGGAGCCACCCCAAAGTTTAGGCACGCTAACTGTTGGCATGCTCCCGGAAGGGTGAAGATGGAAGTGGAGCGTGGCAAATCGCAAGTGCCGGCATTGTTGGTACCGAGACAGAGTGGAGAAAGAAAGCAGGTGATACGTAAGGTGTTTATATCGAGCGTGCTTGTCAACTTCAGTTGTTTTATTTACAATCCACGACACAGCCGTTTCCTCGTACGACAACGCAGGCAAAAAAAAAAGACTAAGTACCGGTTTTGTAAGTGGTGTTTTGCCGCTTCTTTGCATTTACTCGAGCCTCGCCATCGATGCTGGCGCGAGGTAGCCGAATTGCGTGGGCCGGTGGCAGACTCTTCTGTCGCATGTTCGCTGCTGGAGAGCGGCGATTTATGAGAGGGAGCAACTTGAACCATAGAGAGCATTTGCAATTTAATTGACAGAGGCCTTCTGCGCAGTTTTGTTGCCAGTTCAAACGCGTTGACCTGTCGCGGGTTAGGGAGGAAAGCGGGCAGGGAGGTGGACGCCCCGTTTGCGGCTTGTAGGGCGGCCCGTAAACTGCGTGACCTCGACGGAGCAGTTGGAAGCACCCCGTAATCTTCCCGCAGACCGAGCACGGTGTGTGACCTGGTGGAGCGTGGGGTGCGCAAGGGCCGCGGGGAGGAGGCAGCCCTGTGCGCCACTCTCGGGGCCCTGGCCTGCGTCCAGCTCGGGGTCGGGGCCGAGGCGGACGCCCTGTTCGACGCCCTGCGCCAGCCGCTCTGCACCCTGCTGCTCGACGGGGCCCAGGGGCCCTCCCCCAGGGCCAGGGTGAGTGGGTCTCCTCACTGGCCTCGGTCAGGCGTGTGTAGGCGGGAGGAAACGCTGGAGCGGAGCGGAGCAAATCGTAAGCGCCAACGTCGGAGAGAAAGAACGAGAAAAGGAGCGACTAAGAAAAGGTTAGGCTCGTTCGCTTAGCAACGACGAGGGGAAGTTCTTGTACTCGTCTACTTTATTTGTTTTTCTACGATGTGTTTGTTTCGTGCAAAATAACGCTAGAGCACCACTAGATACAGACCTTGGGAGCAATGTTTTCCTGCTTCTTCGCTTACATAGAAGTGGCGCCAGCAATACGACCCCGTCGGGACCGCCAGTGTCTGCGTCTCTGCCCCACCGTTCCGAAGTGACCGAGATACGTGGGACCTGATTAAAGGGATGCTGAACCGAAATCTGGATTCCTTAAAACACGCGACAAAAGCGTGCAACGGGATGCTACAAACGCCAAAACATCACTAATACAGCGATATCTCCAACGGATGACCGTATTTTTTAAAAAAAGAGGCGCATTTGGCAGGAATCTTGACGTCATGTTTTTCCGAAGAGGAGAGGGAACGGCCTCGCGTCTTCTCCGCCTTGCGGCCTTGAGGGAGCGAAGCGAAAAGAGGAGGAAACTAGGTATCTTAACGTCATGCGCCTCGTCGGCCTTGTTCAATCTCGACTTCTTTTTCCAAAAATACGGCCGTCCATTTGAGATATCGCTCTACTAGTAGTGTTGTAGGGATTGTAGCGTCCCGCCTACATCTCCAGCATTGTTTTTTTGAAATCCAAATTACGGTTCACCATCCCTTTAAATACATTCCACGTGTGCATGGTGCCTAGAATGTGTCTCCAACTGTGGGTTTATCGCGTCCTCAAACATGGTCTCTCGATTTCCTTCCGAGGACGTCGTAGAAGTGTTCCGCTGCGATCCAGTTGGCGGCGTGGCAGCAGAGGCAGATGCGGCAGATGCCCGTTCCGCCGCGGGTTGCTCCGCGGCCAGACGGTTGACGGTGATCGTAGTGGGCAGGACATGGGCTGACGACGGCGACTCTCGTGCATTTGTTGCCGCTTCGGGACCAGTTTCGATGCGCGGGCGGGATCGTACGCTAAACACACCGGTCGAGACACTTTCCGGGTATCATAGTCGCTTCGAATTGGCGCAGTCGTTTGGGTCTCCGCAGACGACAAATAACTGCGTTCCACAAGCCTGGAGTGTGCTTCATTTTGTCGGGCGTGCGTGCATTGGTTTCCAAGTGTGGGAGGCTGGGTGCATCCCAACCTCACTTTCGTTTTCTTACGTTGGGCGAGTGCTTAGCTCCTCTGTCAAGTTTTTTTTTCTAGTGTCTATATCGGTGGTTTTCAAATGAGGTTCTGTGAACCCTCTGGGGTTCAGGAAACCATTTTTAGGGTTCGTGAAGCCCTCGTCTCATCCCCCCCCCCTCCCCTTTTCTTAAAGGGGCACTGACACCCCAAAGGTCGTATATTTTTTTATTGTCTAAAACGATGCAAATTGCAGTCATAGACACGCAAAAAAAAAACGCATCGCGAAAAAAAATTTTTTTGCGCGCGCGCGCGCCTTTTTATTTTTGGTTTTTGATTTTCCCGCCTCTCGCCTCCTCGCTTCTTTTGATTGGTGACGTCAAGAATCATGAAATTTAGAAACTTTGTAGGCGACATCTCTATAACATTTAATTACGGCAATCCTAAAACATGTTTTTTAACGCAATTACGAACGCACTACGGCCCTTCTTTTTGAAATACCGAAAATCGGGAGTTCGTTATGGTGCCGTCTCCTGGATTTGTATCCTCCAACGGAAAACAGGCGACACTGCTCAAAACCGGTCCGCCGGCGCTCGCTGCGATCGCTCCTTTCCTCCTCGCTTTGGGTCGCCATGGCAACAGCAGGGAGTGGTGAAAGAAAGTGACCTCTCAGGGCTCCGCAATTTTTGACGTCAAGGTACCGGCGCCGATCGCGCGGGAACTTTGAATTCGGCATTTGGAAATTGTTTTTTTTACTTCACAACTACTGAATTCCCAAATTTCAAATTTTGAGGGTAATGTCCCGGCATCGTTTTCAATCGTTTCGGATACTAAAAAAAAATATGATTTTGATGTGTCAGTGCCCGTTTAAAAGAAAAATATTGTTCTTTGTTGAGTCTGGCTGGGTGGCGCCAGCTACCACCTGTTATAAAGGGTACTGCCGTTACAATCTATCCATTCATCCTTTTGCTTAATGCTTCTCACTTCTCTAGTAAAACTGCACTCTTTGCTTTTCAATAAGTTGTCTTATTTTATACCCCCTCCCCATTCCCACTTCACTGCTGGCATGTGTTCCCCCATCGCTTTGACACGTCCCCCAAGGTGTTCCCGACACGTCCATGCTTGAGAACCACTGGTCTAGATGGTTTTCGCAGACTTTTTTGGGGAACTCCTTGGCAGTTGTACTGCTGTTTTTTTTGGCGCTTATTTTTTGTGAGGCTCGGTGCGGTGGCCTTGCAGCGAGATGCTCGCGGGCCAACCCTTTGCCGAGACAACTATTACGAGGTCCGTTGCGCGTGCGCTCTTTTGACAGATAGCCTGTCATTTCTATAAATGTGGTCAGAAAGAACACCCTTGCTTTTGACGCTAAAGAGACGTCGTAGTGTGCCTAAAGCTGACGCGTCTGTCAAATGGCATTCACTCTAGATAATACTGCGGGCTCTACGGTTGCCAAGACTGATGTGCACAAGTTTCTGTGTTATGCTGCCAGAGATAGCCATGCTTTTCCACTTGGTGACTTTAAAGGGTGTTGGGCAGATGGGACGCTTGGGAGGAGAGCGTGTTGGTTCAGGTCATGGATGAAGAAAGAATAAAATGTGGTTGTGTTGTCCCTGTTTTGATTGTTTCAGATGGGATCTTGCCTCACAATTGAATTTTAGTGTCTGTCTGGCCGTCGTGTTGGGGGAAAGCCACCAAATTCTGTGCTTGCGCTACGAAAGCACGGAGAAGCCGGCGGGTGAACGCATTTCTGCTGAAGGGCACATGAATGCCACCTCTTATTTGGAAAGCTGAGGCCGTACGATTCTGCAGGAGTGGTGTTTCGGTCGGTTTATTTCTACTTAATGCTGGGACTAGCCATTAGCTGGCAGTTACACTGGTAAACAGTCTGTTGCATTGGGCTCTTGGCCTGCTTTTGAACTGTGGCCCCGTCACTTGCAGTGTGCCACGGCCCTCGGCCTCTGCTGCTTCGTGGTGGACTCGGACAACCAGCTGGTAAGACGTTTCCTTGAGCGCCCGTAGAAACATGTGTTGCCTGCTTAGTGGGGTCGCTTTTCTATTCCTCGCGTCCAAAGAGCCACCGACATGGCGCTTGTTGGCACTGGCCGACTATTACGTCTGACCGATCCGCGAATGAATCGATCTCATGACGACACGACCACGGATCGTCCGCCTCCCAAGCGCATTTACACGGAGGAGAGGGGCAGACGACTGCGAGGATTGGCCAAGTCACACTGACCACACTGCCGTGGGCCGTTGGAGCGCGTAGCGGCACTGTCGTCCGCGAGCGAATTCAACGTTTGTCGCTACGACTGCGGCGATGTCGCATTACGCCGAAAAATAATTGTTGCGTGCTGCTGTTACGTATTGCGCGAGACAGAACACCGCGACAAGCTTAGTGCGAGGCGCCAATAGCTTTACTAGCCCAAGGCATAATGCAAGTACAATCCTGCTCGAGGAGGCTCGGCGCAGAAGCGAGAGTGTTGGGCTTGCGGAGGGTCGTTTGCCGAGGTTCTAGTCACTGTGCACTCGCGCATAACATTTCGGTACACTACAGATGCAGACGGTTTTGGCCTGATGAAAGGCTGGATGGATGTGCACAAAAGATCATGGCATGCTAGGCGGGTTTTGACAAGAGTTTCTTGACACGGTCTTGGTGGAGTATTGGAACCTGTAGCGCATCAGTTGGGAACAGTTCCTGCAGCTTCCTTTGTGTGGAACAAGAAACCATGCGACTTAACGAGCCAGTGAATAAAACGGAACGCAACGATGCGCCATCTTTGTTCTGTTTGTCCCAAAACTCGGAAAAAAAGACAAGTAGTGCCATTGCCAGACAATACGCTCTCCGAGTCAATCCCCCGCCAGAAATCCACGAGGGAAATGCACGAAAGGAAGAAAGCCGATCGCCTTTCTACTCGTAAATTCTTGGCGAGGACGCCCATCGTTGTTTTGTTCTCTTTTCTGTTTGCTTGCTGGTCTATTTTGTTGCGCGCTTCATAATTTCATGCGCAAGAGAAATTGCAACAACTTTGCCCGGCTGACATACTGCAGGTTCTGGTACTCCTTAAAGTCCGTGTCGAGAAGCTTCTGTCAAAACTCGTCTAGCATGCCTCAATCTTTCCTGCACGTCCCTACAGTCTTTCATCCAGCAAGACCTTTCTAGCGGCTGCAATGCACGGCCGCTAGAAAGGTCGAGGATGAAGACATTGGCAAATGCCCCTCTGCAAGCCCAGGGCTTCGTCGTTTGCCCGCCCATTAGTGGCCCAAAGTGCCAGGTGGAAAAATCTAGCCTTTTCTGAATATATTCGAGTTCACACCAATGAACCTTTAGACATTTTTTCTGAGTGTGTCACAGGTTCAGGTGGAAAAGATCACATAACAAACTTATAATTTGAATTGAACCGCTCTCCAAAGGCTAGGGCCACACCTTGGCGATGGACTTCCTGACAGGCGGCACCAATTGAGAGCGAGTCTCGCCCGGCGTTACGAGCACGATTTAATAGCAACAAAATTCGAAAGGAGAGAGAAGGTGCACAGGGCTTACACATAGTCGGAAAAGAAAAAGAAAAGAATAGAATGTATCTTGCAAGTGTTCCGCTCTTCGTAACTGCGACATGTAAAACACAGAAGCTTCGAAAGCGTAACAAAAGGAACAGAACAAAGTACCGATACAGCTCGGAGGAGGAGGAGAGTCCAATCAGGGTCCCAAGATATCGGTGGTGGTCCGGTCCCTTGTGCGGCCAGTTGGGGCCGAGAAGTCGTGGTGGCTTGGGTGCTTACAGTGTCTAACGGCACTCACTCACAAGCACACAAACATCGTCAAAGACTTGTTCAGGGCCCACCAACGACAAAGCCTTGCTCGGCGTTCCACCAGCAACCCCGCCGAAGCCTAGCTCCGCGTTCCACCAACAACCACACCGCACGCAGCTTCCACCTTCTTTTTTTTTGGTCTTTGAGTTTGTGTCTTTGGCGCTCACACAATCCACTTAAAACGGAAACCACCAAAATGAACAAGGACAACAACCAATGAATTCTGTGACAGAGTGCATTTGAGGTCATGCCTGTTATTACAGTATGTTTCTTCCAGTCTACACTTACAAACTTCCTGGACCAATTTGAGTTCAAACCTACGAATGCTTTCGTAAAATACATTTCTTTGTGGCAGTTGCTCTCTTTCTCATCTCTAGAGCTCCCTGAAGGGCATGATTTGATTTCAAAACACGTATTGGCTGCTGACGTGGTCGGCATACCGGACACGTGTGTAGGCTAGAAAAGGCACAGGAATAAGTCTTAGCACTGATGCACATGGAGCATGTATACGAGTTTAGTGGGAAATTTCCTCAGTGAATTTGGAGCAGTTTAGAGCGTTTTTTTTTTTGTTGGCATCATCTTTAATGTGCAAGTGCTTGCTCACATGTACCCCACCAAAGGCGCAAGCCTGGAGCACTTTTGGATCTCTCCAAAACCACCGAGGGAATTCCACATACGACAGCACGAGGGTTGAGAGGCCACTTAGGATGGCACAGGTTTGCAATAAGAAGCGCAATTTAAATTTATGATTGCGCATTTGGGATCCTGATTAGCGGCAAATAGTCGGCGTAAGGAGCCAATAGGTGTGTTTCTCGAAAGCATTGTGCTCTGCCTTCATAACATATGAAAAACAGGTGCTTTTGATTAAATGTGGCAATTGTTTTTCCGGAACAAACATTCGCTTGATCGGTTCATCCATGAATTTAAGGAATCTCTTGACATTGTGCTCGGTCCCAAGTCTACAGTCACTCAAGTGCATTAATTATTTGCAGAAGATAATTAATTTTTTTTTTATTTATTTAAATGCAAAAGGTAGGGCCTCCTGGGAGACAGTTATGTCCCAGACAGCTTCTCATAGACAGTATGTAGACATAAATAGTCAGTCATCGGAAATAAAACCTTAAATCAGTAAACATACGTTCATGGACAAAGTTTTTTTTATGTCGATGATGCTTGTTGATTTTTACTTACGCAAATGGAACATGAGAAACTTGATAGTTGGAGTAAATTTAATGCTTTAAAAATGAAGGTCGTTGAGAGAAAGGCAGTCATATTCTGACCAAGAAGTAATGTGTCTACATTTCCAAAGATTTTTTTTTTTTTTTTTTTTCAGTTTTTTAAAACTTGAAATTGTACCTATGTTTAAAACTTGAGGCATTTTTTCCCCCAAGAAAGTGTGATGGATGATAGATTAATTACATTGTATCTAAATTATCAAGCATCGTTAATATTTTATATTGTAAACACATCTTGTCTCTCAAAACAAGGTTATTACTGCATAATTAATTATTTTACTCTCATAAAAATTGTGCTCATCTTATACGAGGAACCACTACATACTCTAAACGACTTATTTTTTTTTTTTACGGGCTGTAGATTGTGTTTTAGGTCAAAGCTGAAGATTTTTTAATAATTCACAAGTTGTAATTTTCGTGACGGGTGGGATCTGAATATAGATTCTAATGTGTTTCCATTTTACCGGAATTGTTTGTGTTATCTATTTTCCGCAAATTGTGGGAGATTCGCGAAAATTAGGTCCTCTCGAAAATAATGTCGTTTACAGTACACCAATCTTCAAAAGATACTTATGTAACAAAAAAATATGTTAAAAAGTGTTTCTAATGTTACGCTGCATTGCCCAATGAATTTTGTTTCCAGTAAACCTAAAGTAATGAAAACTTTTGATTTATACAGATAGTATTTACGCTTGAAATATATGATAGAAAAACAAATTTTTTCTCAACATTATCTCAAAGACTTAGCAAACCTAGCAAGAAAGGGCATATACATATCCAACACAAATTGTAGAACCATGGGAAATATCCTTCTCTAGAACTAGTGTAATTACAGCTAACACACTACGTCATACAGCCCTCTGACTACGCTGAATCAGTTCAGTAGGGAAAATATAGAACTTGACACTGTATCGGTGAGCAGCTTACTGGAATTAATCATAATAAATTCAAAACAAAATAAACAAAACTGATCTAGGATAAGTGCTAATTTTTGGAGGTTGAAGTTGTTTTAACGCGTTAAGGAGCTCGTTCACAGGAAAGCCGGCATTGGTGGCGTCGTGACGGGAAATCCTGATTGGTCGATAGGGTCATGACGTCGCAGCCACATGACCTCGCGCGGGAATTTTAAACAACCCACAACACTCGCGTCGCGTGTGGAATTAAAGAGATTTAAACGTGACATGCAATACAAATTAAAGGTCGCCTAATATCTGAAATAATTTCACTTTATAGAGTAATTCATTTGCCTTAAAGAAAAAATTTAAAGAATTTTAGGCGGGATTCGAACCCACGACTCTTCAATTGCGAGTCAAACATGGTACTGACTGGGCCACGCGGAGATGCTTGCAGGGCTTGGGAACAACCGGGAGTTTATACGTTCAGCTATCGCATTCCTCTCTGTAAGGCAAAGCTTGAGCGTCCTCCAAGTGTTTTTGCCATATTTTGTCCGTTAATGCTCTAGTCTGTTCAAGCTGATTGATTTATGTTATTGGCGGCGTGCGCGAACTACAAGGGGCACTTGTCTAGCTACCACCTTCATCGTTTGTTATGTCATGGTTAGGACAGACTGGATTGTAGTACGACATTTTACCAAAGCTTGAAACCGTGGCATGCATAGTCGTGCTAACACTTTTGGCGGTGAGGTGTCAAAAGTGCTGCTCTCAAACCCAGTAGAAAAAGTTGGATGATGAGAATAGAATATCCAGCGTTTTACCTCACTACAACACCTATCACGGTGAATAGGGTGTATTTTTTTTTTATTGCGATTCAGACAAAATGAAACTGAGAAAGGAATGACTCGTAGAATTTAAAATAGAGAAGTGAAATTTGAGAACTTCTCGCGTGTGTAGTAAACATTTCAGTGAAAGCGACTTTGTGTATCCCGTTGGTTCCAATCTGTTCTGCGAGTGCTGGTCTCTCCATAGTTCCCAGTTGATTTCTTTTTGAATTTTGTAAACCAGTGAACAAGCATTTCCTCAAAATAACTGGCAGAAAGAAATGATGGCTGCCTTCCGGAGTTGTTTCAATTAAATCCCTGCTAATTTACTCGGTCGACACGAAGCGTGCGCGCGACCCCCTCAAGATCCAAGTCTTAAATCTAGTAAGTCGGCGACACTTCTGCGTTCCAAAAAATGAGGTAGACTTCTATGAATTGCTACCATTTCTATGTTTAAATTATGAGGACTTAAATGTGCATATTTGGTGACGCGCTTCTCAGCGAGCAATTGTAAATTTGTAAACAATTCTTAGTAAAAATTGAACAAAACAACTGAATCAATTGCCTGAATTTGCCGAGCCATGTTTAAAAATTTATGAAAATTTCTGCTTTTGTTTCGAGCAGAAGTCACGATGGGATAAACTTTGCCACATATTCTATGCGGGAGTATCTAAGGGTCAATAGCTGACGGGTATTTGCTCGTTAGCAACTGCTAGTCGCACTTGGATAAAAGCGTCGGTATTGGCAAGCTCAGTATAGCTTAAACAACTGTGCGCTTGTACACAGCTAAGAAGACAGCGCGTCATTTACTCTGGTGAAGGCAAAACCTTTTTCTACAGCAGCCTACACAGATCCAAAAAAGCCATAATCAGGGATGCTGTGAATAGCCCCGACGCACACTGTGCAAGCTGTAATGTGAAGTTCCGGAAAAACGTCCTACATCTTTCTTAAATAAATAAACTGTTTTTAATTGGCATAGATGCAAACTAACATAGTCACTCCGTGCTTTGACATAGTGCGTCGTCTGCTGGCATCCTAGCAGCTCCGTCAGAGGCGGGCGCTCGTGAGGTGGCGCCATCTAAACATCTCGTCGCCAATAGTGATACTAATGGTTATGTATGGTGTCCTTTGTATCTCGTACAAGTGATTTCCATTCACGTTGTACAGCAGAGCTGTTAAGGGCTACGTTCCCCAGGATCGTGTCCGTGTATGTCGACACAAACCTACTATAAGCGACGGCGGAAAGCACACAACTGAGTGTGCCGACCCGCAGGTGCTGCAGCCGTGCATGGAGGTGCTCTGGCAGGTGGTGGGCGCCAAGGCGGGCTCCCCGTTGCTCCAGGCGGCGGCCCTGCTCGCCTGGGGCCTCCTGCTCAGCGTGGCTCCCGTCGACCGCCTGCTGGCACTCACACGCACGTCAGTACCCTTTCTCCTCCTACCTCGCCTCGGACAGTCTGGAAGGAAGGTTCGGCTTCTGTCCGATGGACAAAAGAAACAAGCTTGCCTCGTTCATTATTCTTTCTTCCTGGTGGTCCTGCAGCCCCATCGGGCATTATCGCAGAGGGAGAATGAACGCGAGAAAAACATTTAAGCATTTGCGGCACAAGCAATTTCACGAGACAAGGCATTCCAGTCCTTAATGGATTTTTCAAAAATCCTGGTGCGAAGTTCCCTTATTTTATGTTTGGATATGTAATTTGGAGGTAATAAACAGGGTGAGCTAGAAAAGCCTGTTGTATTATGGTAAATACCGTATAAAAACTTCCAAGTGCAAACATTTTCGTCGTTGTGCCAATGGATTTCATCTCGACTCTTTGATCATGTTGGTGACACTGTTCCGAGTAGAACTACCGTTTTGCAACTTCAGCTGCCATGGTTAATGTGTTTTTCCTGCGCTGCCTCACTGACATTCGTCCAACAGGGTTGTTTACGTTGCCGTGCACCGAGGATTGCCGAGCTTGTTTGGGCAGGATTCGGCAGTCGTCCGCTCCCTCTGCCTTACGACAATTCTCAAACGCAAAGTTTAATGTAGACTTTCTCCTTGCACCAACCTTTTGCCAAAATGCGGTAGAATTTCCTGCCAGGGGCCGTTTGAAATACAGTTGCCGCGGTGATGTCTGAGACTAAAAACAAAAAAAATCACCCTCGCCGCTTTTTTTGTGTTGTGTCTACAGTCAAGCCGGATTATATTGAACCCATCCATTTAGAAATATTTCAGACAATCGAAAGATCCCCTTGACAATCCCATGCAAAAGTATAGGTGCCCCGTGCGTCTGTATTGAACTTCACCACCCAATGCATCGAACCATGCTTCGTGCCCCTCTCACTGCCATCACGGCGCAGTTCGTACGCGCTGAGGATATAGGATTCTGGCCACAGAAGAGGCAGAGGAGAACAAGAACACTCTGACTTTCAACAATTGAATGACGGCAATAATGACATGCTACACCGGGTGACTGTGGCACTACGTATTGGCTTTGGATGCCTTGGGGAGGCCAGGAGGGGTCAAGACGGGAGCAGAACACAGAACGTACGGAGTGCTCGCATTGACGGTCCCAAGAGGAAGAGAGAGAGCCGAGAAGGAAAGCATACAAAAGGTTAGGCGTGGTCATTTTGCTGCAACAAGTTGAAGTTGCTCTTGCGCTTGCCAACTTTATTTAGTTTTATTCAAGGCGCGATTAACTGCAAATTGGGCTGGAAAAGAATATTGTACAGACACTACAAATGATGTTTTGCTGCTTCTTTGCACATATTAAAAAAACATTGAAATGAAAAAAAAAGCATAATGGGAGACACTTTTTTTTTTTTTTTTTTTTTGTAATTTTTGCACGAAAAAAAAGACATTTGCGCTATATTTTGTACGTTAGACATAATTTAGGTGAAACTAACCCGCAGGAGGTCCCTTTGCTTCGCCGGCTGGTTTGCTTGAACCTTTTCTGAGCCTTCGAGAGTTGGGCAATGGTGCTTGCAAGGTTCTGAAGTCTGCTTCGTCTTCCCCTTGTACAATTGTCTCATAATCAGCATCACTTTCCTCTTGTATATTTATTATCACATAGTCACCATCACTAGTAGCGGCTCCACGGGCCTCCATGGTGCGGGCTGTTGCCTTTCTGTGGTGCCGTGGCTCTCCTTAACCAATGAAGATTTTTTTACAGCGGAGCTGTTAAGGGCTAGGTTCCCCAGGATTGTGTCCGTGTGTGTCGACACAGACCTACCTGGACAGCTACCGCCATCTATAAGCGACGGCGGCAAGCACACAACCAGTATAGTTTCCGCCGTCGCTCGTAGATGGTGGCAGCCTTTCCAGCTATAAGAGAAGAATGGATAGTTGGGTACGTTGGTGGGAATTCATCGTGGGAAACAGCGTGAAAAACGGACGACGACGACGAAGAAGCACTCAGTGTATCGAGTACAGCTCCGCTGGTCTTCCTTCTTCACGAAAGTGGAAAGGCTGAATGATTCTTTTTTTTTTTTACCTTTATCTTTTGCCATATTGCTTTGCTGTTTTTGTATTGTGTTAGTTTTGCTGTGATTTTATGCAAGTAATTTTGTTGTTGCTGTTGCTCGTGTGAGTTGTTTTTTGTGTGTCCCCCTCTTTCAGTTTCCTTTACTTTTTTTTTTGTTTTTGCATTTTGTTGTCTGTGCTGCTAGGTCGTAGTTACGCGCACAAGCATCTGCGCCCGTGGTTCCTGCCAGCTATGGTTTAATGGGATTCTACTGTATTTAGCAGTTCTTAGACGCTCTATTTAGTTCGCTCTCTTTTTCACGACCTAGACTTAAATACTTAGATATTATCGAAATAAACAAACTAGAATCCGGTATTTCAATATATTTGGGTATTTTGTCGTTGCTCTGGCAGCTTGGTTCTAGATTCAAGTTGAAGCAGTAAGTGCATTTCTCAGCTTAATTAAAACGTGGAACCACTTACCTGGCCCACAAGGGTCGGGCTTGGACAGAAACCGGCACGTCCCTAGGGTCGCCCCGCACGGGTGGCCGTCTCAGCCTGGCAAGCCCTGCGGGAGTATTGTCCCGGGCATTGGCGTGCGTCCATGCGAGAAAGATGGCCGTGGCCGTGTTGCAGGCACCTGCCCCGGCTGCAGGAGCTGCTGGAGAGCCCCGACCTGGAGCTGCGCATTGCGGCCGGGGAGGTGATCGCAGTCATGTACGAGGGGGCCAGGGACTACGACGAGGTGGGTGGCCCAGAGCTTCAGATTCGCCCGGCTCACTGTTCCTTTGACCGGAAGTGCCCGCACAAATGGAGGCTGCGCGAGGCTCTCTCCGTGCACAGTAAACAATATCTAACGCAGAAATCAAAAGTGGGTCTCTGCTGGAAACTAAAGATGCTGCAAACATTCCTAGAACAGAAGGTTCGACGTTGTTGGAGCCTGCGAATCTACCAAGTCGACTGGTTCGACAAACTTTGAACTTTTAGACTGCTCTGGTCGTCGGGAAACCTTGTCCAGAGTTTGCAAGGTAGAACAATGTTTTGGAAATTTATAAAGGAATAACATTGTAGCATATATAAGCAGGGGGAAGATTCCGGTAGCAAAGGAACATTTTCGTGCTTTACATTCCTAAAACTCCTTTCATAAGGTGCTTCGAACCTGCTATACATGTATGATGCACAGTTTAACCCATCAGACTCGCTAAACAGATTCTTGGGAGGATTTGCAACATCCATATGCGAGCTTCCGAAAAGCACTCGACTGTTGATGCGGTCGAACTCGAACTTGGAAGGAGTTTGCAGCTCTTCGACAGGTAGAATTCGAACCTCTAGAACAGTAGTTCTCAAGCACCAATGCTTTGAGGGCCCCTTTTGTATTGGCAGAAGTGATAGGGTACCCCATCCACCAGGGGGGGGGGGGGGGGGGGGGGCGATATTGGACGACTACACTGACAGAAGGGTAAACGGAGGAAACAAAATTTGTGCGAGCCAACTTCCAACGTTTATGCTCTAAATTGGAGAATGGTCAATCCTACTCGCTCGGCACGCATGGCTTGATCTATTTAGCTTTTTAAACAGCTGCATAAGTAAAAAATAAGCTTTATTGCTCGAGCTTTACTGACTGTCCCTAAGAAGGCCTTTGGGGACCCCCATGTGAGGACAACTGCCCTGGAAAGTAGCCAGTTTTGAGAGGTGCTTCGGCCTCCAAGCAATGGGGGGGCCCTTTGCGACGCCCGCTATGGCCACCGTGCCCCAGTGCGTGGCTTATTGGAGCAGGCGTGGGAGTGGTTCCCGTGCGTTGCAGGACTTTGAGGAGCCCTCGGAGTCCCTGTGTGCCCAGCTGCGCCAGCTGGCCACAGACAGCCAGAAGTTTCGGGCCAAGAAGGAGCGGCGCCAGCAGCGCTCCACCTTCAGGGACGTCTACCGGGCCGTCAGGGTGAGTCTGGCTTTTGACTTTGGTCCGAACCAGAGAAAGGCACCTTGCTTTTTTATTTTGTGGGACTGTGATTGAGCTTTTTCCACTTTCGGATAAATGTGTTATTTTCATGCAGCATGGCATGGGCACAGGGGCAGATCTATGTGTCAGGCTTAAGAGGGGTGGTGGGACTCAGCTCGGGGGAGGGGCTTTGCGAAGAGATGTAATGTCGCAGACAGTTGGACGTCACGAACGAAGGTAACTGTCATTGCATTAAGAGACTGACGTATATCCTTTTTTCGTGCAAAAGAAATGTTTGCCCTCAGGGACAAAAGACGGATGTACGCCCTTTTTCCGTACAAAAATTGTTTGCCCTCTCCCCCTATAAATTTGCCATTGAATAAACATCAGTTTATGTTTACACATGCTGGATTTTGCAAAGGTGCATTTATGAGGCTCATCATTTTTTTTGGTGCTCAACTCTCCTATTTTTGCCAATCGGAGGGTCCCTCGCCTTGACGATGCCAATGAGGGGGGGCATCTCGGCAACGAGTAACCCACTTGGTTGGACTTGTTCAAGGACAAACGGTGACTCTAAAGTGGCAAAGCAGGAAAGAAGTGCCAGAGTTAACCTCTACTCCCTCGTACTCCCAAAAAGAGCCTGAGGTGCAAGACGATTGCACGTGTCAACTGCTTGCAGGAGGGGGCCTCTCCCGACGTGAGCGTCAAGTTTGGTCGGGAGGTCCTGGAACTGGACACCTGGAGTCGCAAGCTGCAGTACGACGCCTTCTGCCAGCTGCTGGGCTCTGGCATGAACCTGCACCTGGCCGTGAGTTCACCCCGGAGCGCCTCCGTGGCGCCTCGCGATTCCCGCGCGGTGCCAACCTTGGGACGAACTGCGCAGGTGAACGAGCTGCTGAGGGACATCTTTGAACTGGGGCAGGTGCTGGCCACCGAGGACCACATCATCTCCAAGATCACCAAGTTCGAAAGGGTGAGTCCCCAGAAGACGGCGGCGGAGTTTCTCCCAGCCCGCGTGTCGCTCTTTCGGCATACTTTGGCTTTGGCCAGCTCGAAGCAACAGTTGCGCTCGAATTGGACCTTTATTTATTTATTTATTTATCCGACACCGATGTCGCCAGGCGGTCATAAGCAGCGCGCAAATATGTTACCGAATGCATTGAAAATGGAAGAATGCATTGACGCCTTTGGCGTCATACCCTTTATGAACGCGGCGGGTCTGTCCCAAAGTCAGTTTCTGGACTTACTGAAGATCTATTTGAAGTCCACCTTCGCGGCTTGGGATGGAAATGCCTACCTACAAAAGACGGGAGTATGCATAGGATCCAGCATTGCTCCAGTCCTTAGTGACATCTTCCTTGCACATCAAGACAGGAGTCTACAACGAATATTGGATACATCAAAAGCAGTGAAAGTATGTAGATATGTAGATGATTTTTTAATCTTCCTTGCTACAGATGATACAAACTTCACAGCCATGGTGGAAGAGGTCCTCTACAATTTCAAGAACTGTATGAATCCTCTGGAGCTCACCTACGAACTGCCGGTCGAAAGATCATTACGATTCCTGGATCTTCGACTGTATGTGCTACCATATCACATCTGTTGGTCCTATGAGCCCAGGGGCAAGAAACCTCTTCTACCATTCAAATCTGCACATTCCAAGCTTGTAAAAAGAGGTATAGTGAGGTCATGCCTTAAGAACTCTATTAGCAAGTCATGCTTACATTCAATGCAGGCGAGCTTCGACGCTCAAGTATCAAGGCTAAGGTCCGCTGGATATCCTCTACAAATATTGACGTCGGTAACCGAGGTTCTCCTCAGAGAAATCAAGCTCGGTAGTGCCGCAAAAACAGGACAACCAGACCGGTAGTCGTGCCATATATGCATAATCTATCTCATGGTCTAAAGAAAATAGCGAACAGAGTAAATGTGGATGTAGTGTTTTCAGCACCACACAAACTTCACAGCCTCTGCAAAAAAGTAAACACCTCCTCAATCAGCACCGTCAGCTGCGCAAAGAAACACAGATCCAACTTTGTCCCATGTGTTGAAGGAGTAGTCTATTCGTTTCCCCTTTCCTGTGGAAAAGAGTACATTGGACAGACGGGGCGGTGTTTAAACGACCGCCTGCGAGAGCACAACAACAACATTGCCAATGCCAACTCCGGTCACCTAGGTATTCACTGTAGGGATTGTGGCTGTTTTGCGCGACTGGACAACTGTGCTGTGTTAGGCAGGAGTAAAAACCAGCTCACCCGAGAAATTATAGAAGCGGAGAACATTGCAAGACGAGAAGCCCAGTGCGTTAGCACTCCGTCCTTAGCTTTATCGGAGAAAGAACTACATTATTTAGACAGAAGGTGTTTAAGACAGTAAGCCAGTATAAGCACTGATTTTTGTCTACATCTTATATTATTTAACAACTAATTTCTGTAACTCTTGGACTTTTTCATCACTCAAACTATTTACGCCTAGAATGTAGTCGACAGTAGGCCAGCTTATCACCTGGTTTATACCTGTTCGTGATTAATTTTGTAATTATTTTTTGTAATTTTTGTAACTCTTGCACTTTGGTGCTTTAGTATTATTCTCCTTTATTTTCCTTTTCTTTGTCTTCTATTCATCTGTTTGCCTTTTCTTTTTCTTTCGCCTTCCCCCATTTGCCTTTTCTTTCCCCTTTTCTTCCTTGGCAACCTATTCCTTGGGGTCGAAGAAGAGGAAGTTTGAAATACAATTCAGTTGATAGTTCAGCGCTGTGTGAGTGTATTTTTTTGTGTGTTTGGATTTTGAATAACTGTCTACTTGCGCTGGTTCGTGATGATGTTACCGAATGAGCTGCAGCGGGGGGGAGTGGACAAAGTTATTGACTTGGCCGCTCATCAATACGAAAACTGCAAAGCTTTTTTTTTTTTCTTAATAAAGCGAGCGAGTGATTGGATTTTGCTTCATTGAAGTGATTTCATTTAAGGAAAATATTTTGTTCCTATCCACGGAAAATGCTCGGCGTAACTAAGAAATGCCCGGCTACGTGTTGTGAGGGCCAATGGTGGGCTATAAGGAAACCCTTCAAAAACGAAAGAGTTTATGAAACAGTCTTGTCGCTTTCAGTAAATTCTGTTGAGTATGTCTGAGACGTGCCATAGTTTTTGCTCTAAAGTATATTGAGCGGCATTAGAGGGAACCTGAAACAATATTGGGTTTGAATGTTACGTGTTTTACACGAGCGTACTGATACAAGTGTGACAGTATCGCACCTACAACTCCAATAAGGGGACACACCCCCTAGGGGGGTCAACTTTGGAACCCTTGTCTTAAAATTAACGAAATTTACAGGGTAGGCTGGTGGTCATGCTAGAGGGTGTATAAAAGAATTTCAGGTCTGTCGGTTAAATCAGAAGGAAATTAGAGTAGCTGCTATCAGCACACGCCTACATTGTTTAGTTAATCCATCGTCAGGAAACGATAACGATATTAAAGATTTTTATTTGCTAGATATGTAGCAGAATGCCAAAAACGTTTTTTCTAGAAAGTAATTTATTTCTATAAATTTTCTCCTCTGCAAAATTGGTCAACTTTTTGGTCTTCTGTGTCTTCGACAAAATGTCAACATTTTTTATAAAAGACATCCGTAAAGTGACAAAAAAGTTCCATAGTCGCATTCCTTATTAAATTCCAGTCAGGATAAGGGAAGAATGAGCCTTCCCTGTTTTGCCATTATCAAACGATAAATTGACTAAAATGGAATTTATACCAAAAAGTGGAACAGAGAAAAATGCGTTCAAAGTGCTCCAAACCCTACCTTTTCTTTAGCTTTGGTGGACAGAAAATAATTCATAAAAAATTAACTATGCAGCTAACTTTTTAATTAACTTAAAACTTAAAATTAACTTTTTGGGAATACTCTCTAGATGTTGGTGGATGTGAATATGTATGTCATTTTTCAAAATCAACTTTTTTTGCAGAAATTATTTTCTCTGAGCAGTGTTTCCCCTTAAAGGTCCTCTGACACGCCCCCCAAAAATTTTTTTTTTTCATGCTAGGCGTTGAAATGGCATGTCAGGAAATTACAAAACAATTGTTTCACTATAAAGGTGCGCAATTTTTTTATAAAAAATATAAATACGAGGCCCAATTCAAAGTTCCCGCCAGTACACTATGACGTAACAGTGTACCGCAAGGTGCCAAGGCGGTCAGAAGGGAGGCATCGGCGGAAGTCACGTGAGTTGTATCCCTCCTCGTGCTTACCGCGAGTTTGTGTAGTATTTTTTGAACATTTTTGTTATTCTCCGCACCTCCACGAGCGATCCAAGCAGACAAGGTTTCTTTTATTTGCTTTTCATTGCTTAATGTTGCTGTAAATGTAGAAGAAGAGGAGTCAGTGAATTGACGTGATCAACTACAATGCCTAGAAGGTGCTGTGTGAGGGACTGTCCTGGTATTTAAGCAACTGAAGAAGAGATCACACTGCATGCATTTCCGAGAGACGGCAGGCATCTTCAGCCTGGAGAGCATACAATGATTCGACGACCTCGGTGTCCGAACCTTCAGCACTGGAATTCAGCGTGTCGTACGCTAGCAATCCTAATTTCCGCGAGCGTTCTAATTTTTTTTTTTTTTTTTTTCAAGATTTGATAGCTTTTTTTGTGCCCAGTATAGCTCTGTATCATCGGACTGGCGGCATGCACTCGTACACTGGCTTGTACTCGCAACGCTTTCATCATTGACCTCCATCACGTCGATCCACTGACTCTTCGTCCTCAACTTTTACAGCCCGCAAACTAGCCAACGGTGCAGCGACAAAGAGCTAGTGGAACTGAAACTTTGTTTCCTACAATCACTCGTACAAAGAGCAGAAAAAAAAAAAGTTTTAGGCACGTTCGCGGAGAGCACGAGGAGTGAAACTCGCGTGACTTCCTGCGAACCCACCTTTAGTGATGTAGGACGATGCCTCCCTTCTGACCGCCCCGACACCTTGCGGTACACTGTTACGTCACAGTGCAGTGGCGGGAACTTTGATTTGGACCTCGTATATCTATTTTTTATATAAAAACTACGCAACTCTAGAGACCGACACGCGGAGCGGCTCTGTTTACCAACACGGCCGGGAGGCCGCGCATGCGCGTTAGCTATGTGGGCAAAAGCAGCCCGGCTCTCCGTGTTTGCGCCATTGCGCTCTATGGCGTGCGCTCGTTGTGGACGTTGTAGGGACGCTTGTATCTTTATTTGTGCGTCGTATTTCCTCATAACGTATGTCGTATGCTATGCCCGACTATTTGAGCTCGTTGCCCGAGCCTGAACGGTAGAGGTATCAAAACAAACTGTGCGTGGACGGCGTTGCCTACGAGGATCCGTACGCCATAAACAAGGCCTGCTGGACTACCGACGTAAAGTTGCTCCCACGGAAGTCGACGGCTCAGGTCGTCGTTCATTTAGTTTTTTTGCCAAGCCAGTTCACGGCCGACACGGTGCAGGCGTACAAGTCTCTCGAGGTCTACGATTACATCGAGTTGGTTTCCGCACTGCCGGCAGGATCAGCAGACTGTGGGTCTGCGGAAGTGTGTGTATTCATTAATTGATTAAATACACAGAGCGTCTGCAAGTCAAGGTATGATATTTTTCATACCCTCATGACCACAAGGCATTACAACCAGTAAAGGTTTGTCCGTTCTGGAGTCTTGGCGGTGACAGGCTACAAGTAACGGCGTTACCAGGAACGCGTTATTTTTTTCAGTAACGTAGTAACCTACTCGTTACGTTTTCGACACAGTAACGGGTAACATACTTATGTTACTATTTCAAGTAACGTAGTTACGTTAGTCGTTACTACTTCCCAAGTCTTAAAAAAATTACACTTCAATTGTTTCCGTGTTTTAGGCGTCAAGCCATGTTTTTCTTTGCGTTTTTTCTCGTAAGTATTTAAGTGAAACCGTAAAAAAGAAATAAAGTAATTATGTTCAGTTTCTGCATAAACATAATGTTTCTTGATATATGACCTGCATCGTCAAAACCGTAAAACGTGTTAAATCATAATTTAAAAAGTAACGCAGAAGTAACGTGCGTTACATTTTATCGGTAGCGGCAACGCGTTCCTTTTATTTTTAGATAACGTAGCTCAGTAACGCGTACCTTTTATTTGCAAGTAACGAGTAACGTATTTCGTTACTTTTTTTTTGGTAACGCCTACAACACTGCCGTTCTGTAGCCGATCCCCTTCTACTCGGTAGCACGGGCGTAGCGAGCCTCCGACGAGCGCTTGGCCGGTGCGTTGTGCGCGAACACCGTGGGAACAAAATCCGGGTGGTCTCGATCAGACAACGGTTTCCCTGCACATAAGCAAGCCTCGGGAAAGAGATTGAAATGGAAGCCGCACTTGCATCCAAGAAAGTGTTTGCCGCACAAACGGTCGTTCGCGCGAGGCGACCATTCTTTTCGATCCACGAATATTATCCACCTTCTATGCCTTTCAGAGTCTGCCGGGGACTTGTGGAAACTCACTCCGCTGCTTTTCTTGTACATTTCGGTGCAATTAACGGCAACACAGCTTCGCGGCATGCTGAAATGCTATGACGCCCATGCAAAACGTGCGCGCTTTTGCCCACACCCCCCGGCTCCGGCGCGATCGCAGCGCCGCCGCAGCTCCGTGACGTCAAGCCCGCGTGTCGGTGTATAGTGAAACAATTTTTTTGTAATGTCCTGACACGTCATTTCAACGCCTAGCAGGAAAAAAAATTTTTTTTTGGCGTGTCGGAGGTTTTTTAAGCAACACTCATTTGTCACGATGTAACATTTGAGCATGGATGTGGAATATTTCGTTAAATTTCTTCCTAGCAAAGCTTGCTGGCATGGTTGCGAAGCTAGCCCAAGGACAACCATGGTCGAATGCAACTCACGAATGGGGCCCAAAAACTGCTTCAGCCCTCGACTCGACCTCAATTCTTGGTCAGCTCGCGGGGATGGGCTTGTGTCCCATCGATATGGTGTTGGGAAGAGCTAAGCTCCCTTCACACTGCCCGTAGCATAGCACGTGACCTGTGCAGTGACCCCGGTGCCTGGCTTTGATCAAGATCAAGAGGCCACTTGTTCTGGCTCAAGTTGTTTCCTGCGACTGCTACTCCAGGGGACGGGAAACTAATCCACGCTTTGTAGGTTATAAATATCTAGGATTCATTCCGATTGGTGTTAAATTAACGTAAATAGGAAAATTTTGAACTCTTCCCACTCTGGCCAGCATGTGCAGTTGCACATTCTGTCGCCAGTTCGTGCCACTTATATTCGCCGCAGCAAAGTGCATGGGATGGCGATGGTCAGGGTGCGTGCCTTGCTCCGTAGATCGCTAGAGACAGGCGATTTCCGTCGGGGGACTGATAGGACAAGCGACGACGATATAATCGTTTTAACTCCGTGACCGTCACTCGGCTGTTATGCTTTAGGACCCGAAAAGTCAGTTTTGTACCGCGGACATATTGCGAAGGTTTTGAAAACTTTTCCAAACGTGCCATCATGAGACCTTTCCTTTGCCACATGCAGACTGGAAAAGGAAGTTATAAAGCAACCAAATATCTTTGACAACTAATCTCGGACCCTCCATACGTGGCGGTAGGAAGCATCTGGAGGCGACATGACGCTGTGGAGAGGGACACGCCCCCAGCGATGACCAAAACCATGAAATGCTATTAAACGAAAAGGAGAGCGGACTTGGCACTAACTCCTTTTTATCCAATAGCGTCTCTTGGTTTTGGTCATCGTTGGAGTCGTGTCTCTCTCCACACTACCATATCGCCGAAGGCACACTTATCGATTTCTACTTGGGAGTACTTTGACAAGAACCAAGTCATGGGTGGGCCAAGGCTGTGACATGACGCAACCCTTGAAGCGCTATTGAAGCGTCCGAAATGGGTCTTGTTTTACCTGACCCTATGGATCCTTCTCCAAATATCGATCGTGCTTGTCCCGATGACTCCCGAAGACGAGCACCGAGTGCTCGTCTTAACGCTGGTTTCCTCAATAATTATTTCCGCCCGATCGGCCTCCTTTGGTTCGCTTTCCCAAGAAGTCGCGCATTAAAGCGGAGGAGAGTGGACATTTTACTGTTCCTTGGGGTTGACGTCTCGATGACTGCCCAGGGTCCCTTGTGCCCCAGTCAGGGTCCTGTTCTTGGTCTTGTGCACGGCCAAGTTCCTGGAGCTTGGCTTGGTCGTGGCCGTTTGGTTCACGCCCTTGTGTCGCATTGACCATGCGCGCCAGTCCCGCTCTGCTTCCCGTCGCTCGTCCCCCGTGCTGTCTTTCTCGTCGGCTTCCCACAACACTGAGCCGCCCAAAGACTCGCTTGCGTGCCGTCTCACGTGAGGCTGGTAGGACTTGCCCTTATCCTTCCTCACCGACAGCCGAGGTTGTCCGAGTAATTTGCCGGTTTGCATTAATCGCAACCCGTCACATTAATTTCATCTTGTGAATCTGCTTCGAAAAAGGTTTAACAGTGACGACCTATGAACAGATAGGGTCAAAGATTTATTTCGAGCTTGTAATTTTATGCGACTCCTTCATCGGGGTCAGGCCAGATGTAGATCGGGAGTGCAACTGCTCCGAAAAGCTGACGACGTCATAGAAGCTTCGTGGTGGTGTTGCAGCGGCGGTGGTGAATGCGAGAGACACCTGTTTCGCTGCAGGGCGCTCTCTAGCTTGACAGTCCACCGAAGCTTTGGCAGCCAGGAGTTGGGACGCCGTGACGACGGAGTCCTAACTCCTGGCTGCCTGGAGCGAGTCATTTGTTGCCACCTCGCGACCATTTCGGATGCACGGGCGGAACAGGATGCGGTTGGACATGCATTCCAAGCGCTTGAAATAAAGGATGGTCTTTGCTTCCTCCCCCAGCACATGGTGAACATGGCCAGCTGCCGGGCCCGCACCAAGACGCGCAACCGGCTGAGGGACAAGCGCGCCGACGTGGTCGCCTGAACCTGCGGACGGATGTTTAGCTATGCACTCTCCGGCCTAGCCCGGCGGGACTGGATGCCACTCGCGAGTCCGCGCTCGCAAATTCGCCGCCCATCGTTACGCAATGGGAGAGGAGGTTCCTGGGTCTCGACGTCCGGGGAAGCTGCTTTTGGCATTACCGTTTGGGGTCGGCTCCAACCCATAGACGGATTTCTTTTTGGTGGTCGTTTCTGGGTTACACGTTTTGGGGGGAGGGTGTTGGAACTGTCCGGTTCTTTGGCGCATGTCGGGCAGCACTTGTTGCGCGGCGCGCTTGCGTACTGCCGACGCCGAGTGTTTGGGCGATTCCCAGAAAAGAGTGCCTCTCGCTCGACGTTCGGTTGCCTTTTACGTGGCCCGTTGTAGACCTTCGTTCGTCCAAAGACGCCGTCCGGTTTCATACCCCCCACCGTACACATATCGAGGCAGATTAAATTGCGGAGGGGCACGTCTGGCAGGCTGAGAAGTGGCTTATTTGTCTTTTAATTTTGCCGATGCGCGCAAAAATTATAATTTCTTGAAAGTTTTTTTTTTTTATTATTATTGCGTACACAATTCACACTTTTCTTTAATTTCTGATGAAGTCTGTTTTATGTGTGCGTGTGTAAAACGTAACTGAAAGAATTTTTATGCACGCTGAACAAACGCTCGGTCCTGGGGTTGAAAGTGCTCGGTGCGTGCATGAGCTAAAGTGCAACTGCTTTGTTCCGAAGGTTTTCTAGTCGCCGAAATGTACCATTGTGGAGCTTGTTGCGAGAGGCCTTGGTCTTCTGGGGGAGCTGTCGTAGCGTGGCAAGCCACTATAGTGGGAGCGACATTGCGGAGAAAATCGGCTTTTAGAAAGGCACCTGGGCGGCGAGTGGACGTTTTTTTCAAATATACTACGGAATAAAAAAAAAAAAAAAAAGCCCTGTACAGGTTTTTGTTTTATCCAGGCCGATGTTTTTGGATGCTGAGAGATGTTTTGTTTTGAGATATAATTTGTGTGAATGTGCTGTTATACTGTATTTGTGTGCTGCTGAGATGCTTTTATGTTCACCGAACACTTTGTTGATAATAAAAGCTGAAGGCCAAATGCCATTTCTGGAGCTTCCGGAGGAAAGGTTCGTTTTGCAGGGTGGAACGCAATTTCCTTCATAATCTGAAAAGAACACGCAAGAATGTTCTTCCTTGCAAGAATGAGGCTGCTTGGTGGCTTTTATCTCATTTCTTTCATAGGTCTGGCAACGAGCATAACATACAGGGTGTTATGCGTGTAGGGTTCTTGTTCATACTAGAACGGAAGGCACCCCACAAAATGTTCTCCAAATTTATGCTTTTGCCAGTAGTTGCACCATGTGCCCACAAAACAATTTGGAATTGCTCCAAAACAAATTGGGATAGAAGCTACTTCGCCAAACGGTGGTAGAACGTCGCACTAATGGGGTGGTGGCTCACTGGAGTCCATGGACCTTATTCTGTGCTCCGTCTGTAGGCCCTCGTACAGATGGACTTAAGACCCCCACCCCATATTGCTCTATGGCTTATCAGAGTTGGTGAAATGGCCGCGTCTCGCGCGTCGCCTATGGTGTGCGGCATTGATGGCGAAGCAGGGCACAGACGAGATTGTGCATTCTCGAGATTTCTTTCGCCACCAACAATGCTGCTTGCCGTGGAAACGCACAACCTCCCTTCTTCGGGATGACTGCCTGAAATGTGCAATATCTAGACAGCACCCAGAAGCAAGTAAGGTCTGTTGGAAGATTGATGGCATAAAGCGGTTGGGACCACTTTCTGCCATCCGTGCCATTTGTTTCGTAAACGGCGCTTTACCCTAGAATACCGTGCATCTGCCCAGACCACATTAAGCGCCCATTCCCAAATTTGTAAAATCTGAGAAAATATGCACAGTACATTGATATGTAAAACTGATGACCGGACAAGCGCCCATCCCCCATTTTTTTCATGATCATCTCAAAATTTTGAGTGGGTGCTTGCCCGGTATTTTACAGTAGTTTCGTGGATAAATTTGACTGCATTGCACAACATCGGATCAGCCCATTCCCGATGGCTGCCCACCTCTCCATATAGTGTTCATATATTGGCCAGTGTTCCTAGCAGTGCGACAGAACTCGGTCTTTTGCATGCTCTGGAGCAGAACGGAGCAAATCCTGGGCACCGACATTGGCAGTCCAGAGAGAAAGAAAAAGACTCAAGAGCAGAGAAAGAAAGATTAGACGTTGAGCATGTTCGTTTTGCCGCAACAATTTGGAATTGCTCGAACACTTGTCAGCTTCTATTTTTTGTACAATGCGAGATTCTGGCGTTTTCCTGCAAAGTAAGCTAGAAAAGAAAAAAGATGGACCTGAGAAGTGATGTTTTGCCGCTGCTTTGTGCATACTAAGGCATTGCCAGCGATATGGGCCTATCGGGACCACCAACTAGGACTGCCGATGTCAGTGTCTGCCCCGCTGAAGCGGTTCGAATGCACGGGACCTCCTCTATGAACAGCTTAGGCCTTCAGCTTCCTCATTTCCCTTCCAGATTTCGAGTCGATGGAGTACGGCATTGCTCACATGTTGGAATCTTATGTTTTGGCAAACTAGGGGCAGAAAGCAGGCTTGGCAGCGAGGGAATAAGAGTACCTGCAGAACGTGAGCACCGAGTGGAGCAAGCATGGAGGGGCCTAGAATGACAAGGCGTTCAGCTAAACCATTACATGCGCGTGGTTCATGGACACCATCGTGCTACTACTCGGGGCAGGTTGCATCAAAATTCTGTCTGGGTAGCCTGCAAGTGATAGTAGTGCTAGGAAATTCCTGCATTTACTGTCTAACCTCGTTATAACAGACCTTGATTTTGACCAAGATTTCGGTCTGTTGTAAAAGGACTATGTTGTATGCAGATATGAAGTTGAGTCAATGGTGCATAGCGGAAAACAAACCGAACTTCACAGATCGGTATGTTATATCCAAATGTCTTGTAAACGGGCCTCTTATAACGATCTTTGACTGTATTATAACTAAAAAAAATGCTAAACTTGGTGTGTCTTGTGCAAAGTGCTAAATGTGGAAAGTGCGGAGAACCAATTCCACTAGTTTTCCCTTAAATAAATAGCCATGACGGCAGAAGATGATTGCTTTTTAGAGAAGTGCTAGCGGAAGTTGCACCCTCTTATCCCGATAAGTGTAGACTTAAAGCGCCGGTTCGCCTGGCGACAGAGACCTTGTGCAGCAACTTTTGTAAGCAAACAAAGCTCGAAATTTGAAGGGTACACAAACACTAGGTTTATTTTCAGACACACACTCGAAACAGCAACCGCACTTGTGACGCAAGCACCACACAACCTCAATGAGGCTACAAAGTTGCACCAGCACTTTGTAGCCAGACCTGGACAGCCCTCGGGAAGTAAGTCGGACCTTTCCACCGCAGAAGTGGCGTTAGCAGAGAAGCAATTAGTTATCCTTCTTGGTTGACGGTTCACCGGCAGCCAAGGTTTTCTGTGGAGAAAACGGCAGACTGGTAAGCCCGGACAAAAACAGATAGCACGGAGTTTTTAATGAACGCCCACCCCATACAATTTATCCCATGTCTGGCGGGAGTTTCTCCCGCTGCCACGCCCTTACTTGGAGAAGAATGTGCTTGGCCAAGGTTTCCAAGGGGATAAATGCACTCTTAGCAATAAATGTCCAAAACGAAATGACAGAGTTCTTAAGAGAATTTACCATTTCACACGATCGCCCCAAACAAAAAAATTTTGAAGGTAAAAAAAGGAAACTGATGGCACCGGCATGAACGAGCACACATTTGAACCGGAATGCATGCAATTGGGAGCCGCCATTTTTTTTTTTTTTTTTTTGCCACCATCGTTTGCTTGGAAGCGACCACCCGATACAGAGATGGGTAGAATTCTATGCAGCACAACAAAACCATGTGGGTTGCCGACGCAAGTAGCCACAGCGACACATGCTGCCGCAAAGATATCACAATTGTTGCAGAGAAGAAATTACTTTCTGAATTGCCGAATAAGGTCAATTGCAATAAATGCCAAGAAAACGCTTCGTGGAACGCAAGTTTGCTTTTCCGTGGCGTCCGTTTCCGCATTGCGAGTGTTTGTAACGTGGGCCCGAGTGTTGATTGGTCACCACGTCTCAACAATGTTGGCCACCCCATATTTTTCGTCGTGTATCTCTTTGGGACCTTGCAACAGTCGGGTGGTCCAAACTCGACCTTACGACGGGAAAATGCATATGCGAGAGCGTGACTAGCATATCCAAGACACTACGATACGGGCGGAAACGGCTTCATTCCACCTTCTCTCCGACTAAAGTCTAGAGTCGCGGTCAGCTGAAAAAACGCGGGGCATCTATGTTCCTATTTCGTGCAGAGTAACATTAAGGGAGGACACTTTCTGGGAATATCCACTTTCGAACTGCTCACTCAATCAGCGAGAAATTTGCGCGTGGTGTTTGTAGCCATATAAAAGGAGGGCATGGAAAGTTTCAGCCCCGTGAACCAATTTTATGAGGTACTATACCCCACTACCCCAGAACTAAGTAAAGTGTAGCTTGGCATAGAATCTGCAATATGAATCGATCGTTGAGAAATTGTGTTAACCACATATTTTTCTGGAATACCCAATGCCGTTTTGCTATAAAAAAATTTCACAAAATATGCTTTTTTCAACTACCATAGAATACCGTGCATCCGCACATTCCACATTAAGCACCCATTACCAAATTTATGAGATCTGAGAAAATATGCGCAGTACATTTATATGTAAAATTGATGATCGGACAAGCGCCCATCCCCCATTTTTTTACGATTATCTCCAAAGTTTGAGTGGGCGCTTGCCCGGTATTTTACGGTACACAAAATTCATGAACACAAAAATCCACCCCACATTTACCAAGTTCTGCAAATTAGAATTTTCCATAATAAAGGAACATGAAAATGCAAAATCGAAGTTCATAGTAGTTGGCTCCGTAAAATTTTCATATATAAGCGGCAAAGATAGTTTGATAGTTTCACACTGAAACAATAATTTAATAAGCAAACTTTATGCCAAAGAGTGGAACGGAGAAGACACCGTTCAAAGTGCTCGAACCTCTACCTTTTCTTTAGCATCAGAGAACCGAAAAATTTATAAAAAAATAACTATGCAGTGTAAACAAATGAAACTTACTAGGAATACTCTGTAGGTTGTTGGCGGATGCAAGTGCGGCATCTTTCGAAATCAACATTTTTGGCAGAAAATTTTTTTTCTGGGTAGTGTCCTCCCTTATGTGGAAGGTTTTCTCCCTTTTCCGAATCCAGATGGCGCATCGAACAGGCCATCATTGGCAAAGCCCCTTGATGTGTTCGCATTTGTCTTGCAAGTAGCGTTAAATGCGCCAGTGCACGAGGCCAGAGTCTCGAGAGGCCCTTGGAAGCAAATGGTGGCGCAGCATCCTCTCGTGGCATGTGTCTTGCATGTTTCCACAATGGTTGGCGGTATACTTGTCAAAAAATGCCTTTATCGAGGGGCTTTAGTCATTGGCCGCTATCCGCGCCATCTGGATTCTAAAAAGTGAAACAAAATGGAGGTTGAATGTGCTACATGGCACAAGCATCGAGAGGAGTGACAAGGCTGGCGGTCTCCGCCACATTTTTCATGAAGCAAATAGACACCCCATACGATGTCGTCATTGGTCAAAGGAACTTTCTCCTTACTCTTGTGCGTTTGCTGCTGGCGCTGGCGCAGTGTTAGTCCGGTCCCCGCGCTATTTGATTGTGTAGCGGGTGGCACTCGTAGCTGCTCGGAGGTAGGATGCCTAGATCTCTGCCTGTGCTAAAGCAGAGCCATATTTTCTTTGTGTCTATTTCCCTCGCCTCCGGTGAAGAGATTCACCGGAGGCGAGGGAAGAGAGATTCAAAGAGTGAAGAGAGATTTCAAAAGCTGTCCGAATACCCTCTCCCCTGGCGAACGTGCCGCCTGGGGAAGGAGGGCCACCCTCCGGGAAAGCGAGAACACATCACAGATGTGTCCGGCGCGCAGACTGAAGCGGCACAAGCGCGGAGGAACAATCGGAACTAGGTCGAGCTGCCGAGCTACATTGCAACTTTTTCATCCTCTTCATGGACAGCGAGTGCCATCTCGGGGGAAACAAAAGAAATGAAAAATGAAGGAAGAAAACCCCTGATTTCTTGGTTTTTCAAATTTGATGAGCTACGGAACGGATAGACTTGTATAAATAATTTCGACATAATTCGGTTCCTTATCAAATTTAGAAGACACTGAGCGGGAGAATTTTTTTTACTTGTAATTAAGTGGACTTTGTAAATTGTCTCCGAACGCAAAGGTGCCGAAACTATCCAATTTTGACAAATTTTATCATTTTTTATAAATATAAAAAAAAAGTAGTTGAATATTTATGACATTAATTTTTCCAATAACGTGCCAATGCCTTAAAAGTAAAAGTTGCAAAAGGATGTGTGCAGCAGTAATCATGCAAGAATTTTTCTAAAACTCCATGTATTCTCTATGGGCTTCCAAGGTGCGCTCCTTTCTTGAAGATGCCAGGGACTCGGCACACCCTGCGCTTTTGTCCTTTGTCATTAACTCTCATTGCATCATGCATTCAAAACCACTTTGATGCAATCCATGCTCTTGAGATTCCAAGAGCAGGGAATCCATCCCAACCACAGCACCCTTGGATCAATCCTGTCTATACCCGTTTTCACCCCAAGAACCACAGTAAAACAAGTCCGGCTCCTCGCGGAGAATTACTAAGTTCCCCCTTTATGTGGACAATTAAGATATATACAAGTGATAAGATAACATAAGAATGTTATCTTATCAAGACACAAACATTCCAAACGCCAAAAGCAACGCTTTTTCCTTCAAAACATCGCGTTTTCCTTCAAAACATCGTAAGAACTACTTCGCGGCGTGTATGAACAATGCGCGAAAATTGCTTTTTCTTGAGGTGAAAATGGGTATAGCAGACTACGGCGATGGCTGGCACGACACTGCAACGCGTCGATCTCCGCAAGTAAGGGGCTCGTTCCGAGCGACAAGGCGTTCCTGCGGAAGAAATGCCCACCTCTGCCTTGGCGTGCTCCTCGCAAAGCCTGTCGTATTCCTTGCTCAGGTTTTCCGCCTGCACCTTGAGTGCGTCGCGATCGGTCGTGAGGTGCTCCACATCTGCGAGGGAAGCCTCCCCATTAATCACGGGCACAAGCTCGGAGCCCCCAAATATTGGGCAAACGTGCCGAGCAACACAAAAATTCATTTCCTGGCGCGTAGGACACTGGCCAGTGGCATCCAATGCGTCGCAATCCATCCAACTGTTGGCCAACGCGAAGTGCGTGCAACATTCTGGCACCGAGTAGTTTTTCTGCCCTGTGGGGGTCTGCTGCTAAATTCAGTCGCATACCTAGGGCTTGAACCTATGATGAGCACGGTTTCCCAATACTCCTGTTGATTATGCCTGCATACCGAAGATTTGGAGTCATAATTTATGGACAACTTGTTGTAAAAAAAAAAACGACTCATTTTTGTTTCCCTAGGATCCTCGAGCAACGTTTGCAATATTATTCTGTTTGCACTTCCAGAAGTCACAAAAAAAAAAATCTTTTGCCACTTTATTAAAAAACACCCTTGCTACAGTAAGCGGGCATGTCTAACCTCTCTTTCATTTAGGGCTCTCCTCCCAGGCAGGTTCATTTGCCAGACATTCAGGGACCTTTCTTCGGCCTCTTTTCTTTTAAAGATTACACATATTCTCTTGTTGTAAGCGATAACGACAGGGATTCGAGATTCATTCAGGCTCTGTATTTCTGCACATCAGCAGGAGGCAGAACTTACACCAAGGAATATCCATATTTTACTCATTTATTTATTCTCTTATTTAAAATACTGCAGACCTTTTGGTCAATGCAGAAGAGAAAAAAATGTTTGTACGAGAAACAGACAAAAATCATTCAAGCACTCGTACAGGTCATCAGACTTGCATAGTCAAGAATGGTCACTCCTGCACAATATGTGACACATTCTAAAGCATGCATGTAGCAACTAAGCAAACATTTGTGTAATCTTAACTCGAATGATTTGATATCAGTGCGGTCAAAGGCTTTATTAGGTAGGATCTTACATTGTAGTTCTGTTCTACAAAAACAAAAAAAAGACTTGTCCAGTCTTCTCCTGTGTCGTCTCAAGTGCTACCATGTTTTTGAGTACCCAGTATCAACTCGCCCAACAATCTGCACTGATGAGTATTTCAAGGCATTGTTTTTGTAACAAAAGGGGCAATTCCCCTAATATAACTTGCAGCGACAACTTCATTGTCTTCAGGCACAAAGGGTAGCAAACCTTTGCAAAGCTTTAACATTTTTAAAAGATCCAATTCTAGAAAGAAAGAAAGAAAGAAAAAAAAAAGAAAAGCATAAAAAACTGAATTTTGAGTAGCATAAACAAAAAGCTCCAAACTCTAAATTGAGAATAACAAATGAATTCCCAAAAACGCCCTCAGATTTTGCTTAAAAATGAACTCGAAAAATGCAAGCCCAGCCAAAGGCTCTCATAAAAAATCCAATGTGAATTCCCCCTAAAAAAGAAAACAGGATTTTTTGAAATAAGCTCACACAAGTCGGAAACAAGAGAGGTACACAGATGGAAACTAAATTTTTTAAACCTTCCTTTTTACACGCGTCCACACTTTTTGGCTATGTGCTCGTGCACAAGACCAATGACTGGAACAGAGATAGACGAGCAATAGCACCTTCCTAGACCAGATAAGGGGGGGAAGGTAGCACCTTTGTCAGCCATAAGGAAAGCAACCTCTCCAACTAAATCTGAAGTTCAAATGGTCCCCCTTCCGCAGGCATTGTTGCCCTGAGCACAATGGACAATGAAACACTTGCCCCACCAGCGTTCCCAGGAGGAAAGACCCACCTTTCTTGGCAGCCTCGAGCTCCTTCTTCAGCTCCCTGACATCTCTCTCCAGGGACTCTGTCTTGCTGTTGCCCTCGTTCTGCTTGGCACCGTCACTCTTCTGCTGGTAAGGGGGACAACACACTTCACTGCCTACACCAGTGCATTTCTTTTCTATGCCTCTCAACTACAGTACAGAGTTGCCACAAAACAAATGTCTGAACCAACCAGTTATTTTGGAATCGACCCAGCATCTAATCAACACTCACTGAGCAGACTCGGCCTGCCTCTCTGGCCAAAGCTGCCACGGCACTGTTTTTTATTTGTCTCCTTCGCAGAACTTCTTTAAGCTTTCTGTTCCGTTCCCCCCTCCCGAGCACAGCGACTATATTTTGTTTCACCACACGTCCGGCTGCAGCAGACGCCACCAGCCATCCCAGCTCTGCAACTGTGGCACGCGACTACACTTTCTGCGCGTCACGGAGCTTACACTCGAAAGTTACGGGAAACGGCCTCAAATCGGCTCCGATGGCTCGTAGCATCCATTGCGGCCAGACGTAAGGTGAAACGGAGTATGGGAAAGACGCCACTAAAGAACCTGCAATGCACCCCGAGTGATTGAGGTTTCTCGACGTCTGTTACAGTTGCCCTAAATTCACGGCATAAAAAACTTGAAGCGAGGATACACCACAGACATTTTATCCCTGGAGCCCACACCCAAACCCTGGAGCCCGGATATGACACAGAAATTCTGACCCTGGAGTGTGGGCAAGGACGGGAGTTCCATGTCCCTGTCGCCCTTCTCCCAAATTCCCGCACCAGAACCCCCTTGTCGAGTCCCCCACCTCCTCATTTATCCATCCACCCTATTTTTCCAATACAGTGGCCACGTCGGCAACGAGGCTAACGGGCAGGCCTTTGTTTGCCCTCTATGTTTGGCCATCTCTTCCGCAATCTCGGCTGCATCTCTACACTCGGCGTGGGAGGTTCACCCTAGTGTTCTGGCAACATTTGGTGGCTGGAGCACCGCCAGCGTCTTTTGAAGCAAAAAGAACGGTTGCACTTTTTTTCTTTATTCATTTCTGGGTTAAAGTACCGCTGAGGGGGCCAAAGGCAAAAAGCCTGATAAGGCCTTAGCCCCCTCTCTGTTCACAGCAGGCAACGAGCAACCATATTTAAAATAATAAAAATGTAACCATTATACATAAAGTTATACAAGCATTATAAAGCGAATTCAAAGTCACAACATAATCTAGTATCAAAAGTTATTAAAAAAAAACTGTAGCAAAATATAAGCATTTTAAACACAATCAAAGCCATAGTGTAGTTGAATATCAAATACTATGCATTAGAAACAAGAAACAAACATACACAATCAAAGTTATAGTGTGGTTCACTATCAAATCCTACATTACATAAACAAACCTTGAGCAGGCTTTGTGCGGCGTCAGTGGCAGACTGCGCTTGACGCATGGAGGCCTCATTCACTGCCAGCAGCACGGCCTGGGCACTGATCAGAGTCACCAGGCGACGGATCACCCTGCACAGGTGCAAGAGGCTCGAGTGTTGAAATTCGAAATCGCCCATTACCTCGAGACTCCTATAACGTCGAAGCATGCTGCTACTACCAGCCAACGGTTCAGCATCCAACACGCAAAAGATTTCAGTGCAATTCTTTCTCTATTAATTATGGTATTAGTTACATTTAAGCCTGGCAGAAAGGCCGATTGCACGCTTAGAAATGTTCTGAGGGTGGCTGCTGTGCCGAAGGTGCGAGAGTGCACTCACAGCCAGAGGAAGAGGGAGAACCCAGCGATGTAGAAGTTGCGCTGTGCCCTGAACATCTTCATGCTCTGCTGCATCTCCACGTCCAGATTCCCGTGGTGGTGGTGCTCGGACTGGGCCACCTCCCGCTGGGTGCCATACTTGCGCATCTCGCGGATGGAGTCTGCAACAGACGCTTGCTCTTGCATCCTTCCGCCTCTTTCGGCGCATTCCATCCGCAAACACCGCCAGCACGCTGACAAATTTTACTTTTTAATTATTATTTTATTTAGATTGTTATAATTTGTAGACTAGGTGGCGCAAGCCACCGCCCGTTGTAAAGGGTACAGTCGCTAACATCTATTCATCTATCCATCCAGGAGCTTCCTAGAAGCCTCGCAGTGGCAGTCAACGTTCTGCTAAAAGACTGGCTTTCTTCACAAAAGAAGCAGTGCCTCTTAGCGAAATGTCTACTCTGCACGTTTGATAGAAAAAGCTTTACCAAAAAAGAAGAGGAACAGGACAACGATCATGACTGTGAAGTAAATGTCCGCCTGTGCCCCCAAGCTCTTGAAGAACCTAGACTTGAATATTCTGTTCCACCTGAAAAAAAAAAAAAAAAACCAAGAAAAACGATAAAGGAGCGCCGTTTAAGAGAAGCCCTTCTCACCAGCTCCGACACAGACATGTCCCACCGAACGCGTTTCGAGTCTTATCTAGGCCTCTGCGGCTCACGAGAGGTATACCCTGTTGTCCAACTCTTTATTCGACTTCTGAAAAATTTTCCACAATGTGTGCAAAAAGGAGGAATGAAAAGGACCATGAAACAGAGGCCAATGGTCGGGAACTGGGTGACCCTTCTATCCCACGTGCAACTGACTTGCCAGGACAACACCGGGGGTCCCCCTCTCCGTGCAGTGTTTCGAGGCCTGAAGCGGCGGCTGCACGAGGCTAGTTTCTTTTTCCAACTAGGCAACTGCCAAGGAGGCATACACCCTTTTGCGCTCGACTTGGGGTTATTTTATTTCTCCGTGTCTCAGGGTTTAATTATTATGGTAGAACTCGGGAAGTTACTAATTTCTACAAGGGGTACTGGAGGAGGAGTGCATACCATTAATTTAAATACTTTATGCACTTTTTTTCTTTTTTTTCTTTTTTTTTTGGGGGGGGGGGGGGGGGGGGGTGCGGAGTCAATAATGATGGGGAGTAGCGTTCATTATAACAACTATGTGAAGACTTTATGGTCCCCCGAAAGAAATTAACCGAAATAATACGGCGAAGACAACACGACGCGCTTCAGCGCTCTTGCCCCGTCTGCTGACCGCCCCCCTCAGCCTACTCTAGGTGCATGACGCCATTGCTTGCCAACAGTGGAAAAGAAGGGAACACTTACGCCCTGGGTGAAATGAACGGGATCATCAACAGCAACACCACTGCAATTTCTGCGTACAGAAATGCCGCCACTATTGTCCACTGGATGCTCATCGTGGACAACGCTGCAAAGGAAATTCCAGCCACATTACGAGCGCCCGTCCCTTTATCGCGTCGACTTCAGTCGTCTCCTTAGAATATCTCCCGGATAATCCGGCGCTACCATGCATCGCACTATTGTCAAGTTCAGTCGATACGATATCGGCGTCCTCAAAGTGCACGGGTGGCAGGCGGCTTGGAAGCGTGACGAACCAGGAAAAAGGGTGACACGGATGAAGTGTCTCAAAATTGGGGTTATTCCTTAAATCCGATAGCGGTAAACTTTCCTTTCCTCGTAGAGTTGTCGTTGAATGAGTCACAGAAACCAAATTTGTGTCGTAAGAGCTACGTCGGTTACGTCATTCTATTCGTGTGTGACTACTCTTTGATACACGTAGTACATGGACGCACCGGACGACTACCACCGCTATCGCTCACCTGTGCTTCCCGAGGATGCTCTCTTGCTAAGAATGAAACTCTTCTGAGATCAAAACAGGGCCAGGGTCAAGGGAGAATGTCAGCCAAGGTTTTTCGACTGGCTCTTCGACAGTCTCGGTGCCTCGGTTCACTGCTCGAAGTTACTGTGATCTCGCTTGCAACGCTTCTAATCGCATTCCTTCTCCGTCTCCTCCTTGGTCTCCTCCCATAGCCTAAAGGAGGCTATTCTCCTCCCCGTCACATATACGCTTTTCCATTGGAGAACAGTAGTCACGTGACCTGCCTTATTTACTTTTATTACGGTGTCTGGAACGCGTCTCCGACTGGTGTTTGCCCCGTCCAAAAAAAGTGGTCCCCCGATATCCGCCTGGTGATGTCATAGAAGTGCTATGTTGTCGCCGATTGTAATCCTGGTGGTGTCCTAGCACCGGTAGTGTAGGCGGTGTAGGCGTCAGACGCCTGTTCCGCTGCTGGTCGCTCTTTAATGAGATAGTCTACGGAATATATAGAAGTTGGAATGTTGAAACGTAGGTTGAAACCAACGAGGTATAGGGCATTAGAGTGATAAACTGGCAGCTGAAAGTGACCCCCAATTGACCGCCGCCATGTTGTACAATTTTGACCACTAGACACGTGACCAGGCCAAATCTATGACGTAACCGACGTAACCAGACCAAATCTCTGGCGTCAACGATAAGATGGCAGCGCCCAGTGCGTGTCGGAAGCGTTGTGGGCGTTGATCGGAGTGTGTGGATTTCGTGTGCGGAATTCGGTTTTTCAGGGTTTTGTATGCTCCCCGCGTAGGAATAACGTGAAGTAGGAGGGAATGAGGCTCTTCTTTTTTATTTAATTCAGAGTAAGCCAGATTCGGTCCCGTGCTTCTCGTACGGGCTCGGATCACTACCTCGGACATCGCTCGGTCGTTCGAGTTTAATTAAAATATCCGCAATCGTTAACCACGGGAGCTCCTCCATAATCGCTGAGTCGAAGGATACGTCGAACCCATCCGGAACGCGGAGTCTAAAGGTATGTAGGACGTAACCAGAACGCGGAGTTCTAACGGTACGGCGGACGTGCCCGGGCAATTTTCTTAGCTCGACCGTCAAGATTCGCATTTGAAGCAGCGAGTGAAGTGTTGAAATCTCCGAACTGCTCGGTGCTGAGCTAACTACGGACCACTTCATTATGTCATCCGTAGTGACGTGAAAAATACCGACGGCGGTCACTCCGGGGGACAGCGGCTCCCGGCCGCCTGCCGGGTGCCTTCTGTGAAGGGGCGACAGTCGTGTAAGCAGTACTGTACCAGCTTCTCTTATAGTTATGTTGTTCTCAAGCAGCTTCCCGATCACTAAACCCCGCAAACGCGTGCCGAAATTTCAAAAGGTGTCTGCCAACCTGGAAAGCCTTGAACTCCCAGGGAATTTCGGATCATCTGGGAAAGTCGGGGAATCATTCAAAAAGTGGGCTAAATAAGGGAAGACCACTAGTGAAAGCGGCATGGCGGTTGCTCGTCGGCACGGCCATGCTGAATGACATTGCCGAAATGTCATCCTTCGACTCAAAAACTCAAGGAATTTCATCAAAATAGTCAGAGAATAACTTGAAAAAGTCGGGGAATTTGAAATCAGTAGTTTGTTAGACACAATATTTGATTTTCTTGGCACTCCACGCGTTTTTACACACGACAGGCACACGCCCGTGTATCACACGGCACCCAGGCCAAGCGGCTGCCAGCCCCTTGTGCAAGGTCGATAAGACGCAAGCGTGGAACGCTTTCGGACTGCTGTAAATACACCAGCGGGAGCGTCCGGCCGCAGTCCGACTGCCCACGCTAGGACACCCGACACAGACTCCGCGTCCTGGGTACGTCTGACGTATCTTTAGATTTTGCATCCTAGGTACGTCAGACCTATCTTTAGACACAGCGCCTGATAATAGTAGTGAATTGGGTCACGTTCAGTGCGCAAATCACTTTATTACACTCGGAGAGCGGAATTCCATTCCCGTTGCGCAGGTAGTTCCCGAGCTAGGCATGCACTTGAAGACTATGTTTCACTCTTTCATAAAGCAAGCTTTGCGGGACCCCTTCGCCCTTGTGCACCCATTCGCAGGCCGTGTCGCCTTTCCTCACGTAACTCCCGCAGGTTCAGTGAGTTGCCGAGCCACTGCAGCCCTGGCGTCGCTCGGTACATACAAGAGGCGGCTCACGTCGGTCGTCCAGCAGCGTACTGGAGGGACGCAAAGCTAGCAGCCTCCTTGGTGCATGCAAGACGAGGCTGAGCAGAGCTCCAAGCTCTTCTGACGTACATGTGCACTCCAATGAGACCGGTGTCGCACCCCGATTCCTAGAGATGTGGTCGCACTGGCAGTCTTGTCGGTCCCTGGGGGCCGTCGAGGAGTGCCAGAAAGCAAAATTCCATCCTTCTTGCGCAGGTAGTTCCCCAGCTAGTCACTTCCTTGACGACGTCGCACCCTCTCTGGAAGAAAGCTTCGGGATGCTCTTGTGCACCCATTTGCAGGTCGTGTCGCCTTTGCTCACGTAACTCCCGCAGGTCCAGCGAGTTGCCGAGCCGCTGTAGCCCCGGCGTCGCTGGTCGTGCCTCCTGGTCCTGGTCGTGCATCAACCACCGCTGCCCATTTCCGCTGAGTGCTTGGGTGTGGTAGCTTGACGTGCTTTCCCAGAAAGCTGTATGCCTTTGCCGAGTAAAAATGGAGCGTGAGGGCAAACTTGCGCACATCCTCTGTACATGCGTTTTTGTTGCGCCTGACTCTTTTTAAGACGAGGTTGCGCATTGTGTTGGTGAATGCATTGTCAAGTATGTCAACTGCTGGCTTAGGAAGTCGTTTCCTCAGTTCACGGAGCAGCGTGTTCAGCTTCCTAATCCTGGCCGTCTTCCGATTGATCTTCTTCTTTGCCTGTTTCAACAGTTTCTTTGCCTTCTGCAGCTTTTGCCTAATCGTGGGCAGGACCCTGTGCAGTCGTGGTGACACAGCTGCGTACGAGTGGTCACCGAAGGAAGTGTTGCGTCGCTTGAACACAGCTTCAGGGGGAGTCTCTGACGTCGTAGCCTGAGAGGGGGAAGTAACCAGCTTTACATTGCTTCCAGAACCAGCAGCAGCTTGGGCCTCTCCTGGGGTTGGCTGATCAGTCGTCGATCCAGGCTGCCTCTCTGGAGGGTGAGACCTGTCAGCAGAACAACGAGCGGTGACATTCAAGACTGCCTGTATTCCACAAGACTGTGTGCCAGGGCATGCATTCTTGGCAGGTTATACCGTGCAGTGTGATATGTGACCACACCTTTTATGCGTTGGCCAGGACTGGCACTGACCCACAAAAAGGGGGTGCTGGGAGTTCTGGCTTATGAATAGGGTTCCATGTTTTGGGTGTTTTTTAATTTGTGAGTATTACCTGGCTCAGTGAGCAAAAGAAGAGCCGTGATCAAAGGGTGCAGCCAAAAGCTGTAACCAAAAGTTGTGTCCAAATGCCGTGACTAATACGACGCAATCTAAGGAAAAAGAAAATAAGAGAAAAACAAACAGCTGTGCTCACGTTATCATTTTCGTCATGTGACTTAATTATTAATCGTGTGGTCAAACAAAAAATAAACCTAGAAATAAATTATCCCCTGCCCGGTTTCGAACCTAGGCTCTCATGATCGCAAAACTAGTGTGCTATTCATTGGGTCAACCTTGCTCATTGACGTCAATATAACTCGGCCAATGGTAATGCTCACGCATTCTCACATCATGAAAGAAAGCTGAGGTGCTCTCGTAGTTTTATTTTTTTTAAAATGGGGGTGATTTTTTGGTGCTTATTTGTTCTCTCGAATTTTGAGCTTATCAGTGTCTTTTTTTGATATAGACTAAAACTCTGAGTGTCTCGGTACTTATGTGGTAAAAGCAAATGCATATCTGTGGCGTTTCTAGGAGACACAACATGATATGCACTACTCATTGCTAAATGGAGCACATAAAAACAATTTCCAAAGAAAAAGAGCAGCCTCGCAGACAGTTCAGTGCGGTCGGTGTTGTGGTTCAACAAAAGTACAGACGTTTATCAAGGTTCCCTGCCGTGGAAAGTGCAATTTCTCTTCAAAGCAAGCTCAATTCGGGTTCTTTCGGTTTTTGCAGATTTCAAGAAAAATCATTTGGAGGTCATATTTTTATGTATATCAGTATATACTGAAAACACGTAACCCACTTATAATTGAATGATTGTAAAAAGCATACAGCATGTCATGGAATTATTATAATGGTGGTGGTTGAAAGTGTTGCAAAGAACCTGAATGTTTTACTCGAACCTATCAACTTGATCCCAAAGATGCCACTTTTCTAGTGATTCGTTGACCACCACTTTCAGATACAAGAGACACACCTTTGCAAGTTGTGCAACTAGTCGCCCGAAGTACCTGAAAACTGGAGCTTGTTACTTCCCCCCTCTCAGGCTACGACGTCAGAGACTCCCCCTGAAGCTGTGTTCAAGCGACGCAACACTTCCTTCGGTGACCACTCGTACGCAGCTGTGTCACCACGACTGCACAGGGTCCTGGCCACGAGTAGGCAAAAGCTGCAGAAGGCGAGGAAACTGTTGAAACAGGTAAAGAAGAAGATCAATCGGAAGACGGCCAGGATTAGGAAGCTGAACACGCTGCTCCGTGAACTGAGGAAACGACTTCCTAAGCCAGCAGTTGACATACTTGACAATGCATTCACCAACACAATGCGCAACCTCGTCTTAAAAAGAGTCAGGCGCAACAAAAACGCATGTACAGAGGATGTGCGCAAGTTTGCCCTCACGCTCCATTTTTACTCGGCAAAGGCATACAGCTTTCTGCGAAAGCACGTCAAGCTACCACACCCAAGCACTCAGCGGAAATGGGCAGCGGTGGTTGATGCACGACCAGGACCAGGACGCACGACCAGCGACGCCGGGGCTACAGCGGCTCGGCAACTCGCTGGACCTGCGGGAGTTACGTGAGCAAAGGCGACACGACCTGCAAATGGGTGCACAAGAGCATCCCGAAGCTTGCTTCCAGAGAGGGTGCGACGTCGTCAAGGAAGTGACTAGCTGGGGAACTACCTGCGCAAGAAGGATGGAATTTTGCTTTCTGGCACTCCTCGACGGCCCCCAGGGACCAACAAGACTGCCAGTGCGACCACATCTCTAGGAATCGGGGTGCGACACCGGTCTCATTGGAGTGTACGTGCGTCAGAAGAGCTTGGAGCT